AGGCCTGGCTGGAACGTTGCAGCAGGAATATGAGGCTGTGAAGAGCAGAGGGCAGTGGAGTGGGGTCGTTAGTCTATGTGCTGCAGCTGGCCTGGAGGCTTCTGTGGGCAGCTGTGGGCCAGGTGTGTTTGGATCATCGAGATCAACTCAGGAGCAATCAAAATAGAATCTACATAAGAAAACACTGTGATTCTGGGATAGGGCTCCTGGTCTCTGAAAGGAAGTTCTTCCCTCTGACCAGTCCCAGGGATGAGGTGTCAGCGGTGCCACCTTCTCACCCAGCTTAGAACTAGGTCAGGGCAGGCAGGATAGGAGGCTTTCCTGTGATATCATGGCACCCTTCAGGCTGTAGTCCTGTTCCTATAGGTTATGCCCTCCACCCTTCTTCAAATAGGGAGGAGAGGGAAGGAGGAAACCACAGAAACTTGAGACCAGGGGAGGGGAAAGCTACTTTCATGATTTATTCAAAGCAGGGCGTATTTTGTTGCCAAAGTGTTTTAAATGCAACTTGGTTGTGTGTTGCTCCATACCTTTTCCAGAATGTAGAAATTTGCCCTTAAGTGGGGACAGCAGGGCGTGTGTACTGTCTCTGGGTGCCCCCAGAACGTGAATGAGCTTTGTCACAAGTGTTGTCTTATTATGTCTAATAATAAGACAATAGTAGTAGTCTATTGCCACTAGACAGCAATAAAGTATGTAAAGAAATAGTGTGAAAAATCACTTAGATCTTAATAACTATGAGCTAGGTCATTTTGGAAACTTTCATGTAAATTTTTTGAGATTTTCATGTACATATATCAGTTGATTCTTCAGAAGCGTATTAAATCATCTAAGACTTTTCTTACATAACTTCATCTCTAAAGCCCTGAGGTAGAGGTCAAAATGCAAACACCTGACGACATGACATTATAGTCATTGTATTTCAAGCATGTAATCTTCCATAAAATCTGTGTATTTTATCTAAACGTCTTGCTGTGGGTAAGAGAGCTGGGCCACAGTGCTGGACATAATAAACACTTTGAGATGGCGCCAGTGGTACTATTAATCCATAAATCTTTTTTTTTTTCACTTGATAGCGGTGGATACTTAGAAGTAACAAGAACATACTGTTTGAGCAATAACGATGCAATGATACTTTGCAACACAAATGCTACATAGTTCCTGTAACTGCCAAAACAGTAAAGAAAATTCCTGATTCTATGATTCAACGGGAGTGTAATTCCTCTATTGTACAAGATTTGCTTTCCTGAGGTAGATATATTGATGCACCACAAAGATGGGAAAGTTTCTGTTTTGTTTTAACGTACAGTATAAGGATTCACAGTTCCCAGTACTTCAACTCGCACTGTCTCTTTTATTTGTTCTGAGAATGCAAGCCCAGTAATCATTTAAGCATCATTCTCAGCTGCTTTTGGTCGTTCATCTCATACTGCTTCCTTCTCTTTCAGTCAAGGCTTTTTGTACCTAATATCTTCTAAAAGCAGAAATTCCTTACCCTACCCGAGCTTTTAGGAAACTCACAATTTTGCCGTAATGCAACCTTCCCCCCCCCCCCAACCCCCCTCACATGGCTCCTTCTATCTCTGGGCTGCTCCACTTTCAGAGGACACACCACCCATCCAGCTACTCAAGGCAGAGGGTAGGTAGGTGAGTCCTCCTGAGCAATTCCACCCCAGCCCTGCCCATTTACCTCCGAAACGTCTCTCTGGTCAGTGCATCCTCATCTCCTCGGCCGCTGCTCTCATGCAGACACTGCAGGAGCCTCCTCAGTGGTCCAGCCCTGGGTAAGGTTGGACTTCCTGAGACTAGAGGGATGAAGGGTTGGCACATTATCCTGGCGGGACTGCATCTATCCCTAAGCAGCGCCTCTGATGGTACTGATGCTGAGGCCTGGGAACCCTAGGGCTGGCCAGGGTCCGGGTGGAGGGAGTACAGGTGCTGGGTACCAGGCCGGGCCAGGGTGCCTCTGGCAGAGGTGCATTAGGAGCAAGAAGAAAATACAAATGAGAAAAATGTACTTCATATTTGCCCATGTATTTGCCACTTCCGCTACGTTTCATTCTTTGTTGATCTGAATTTCCATCTGATGCCACTTGCCTTCTGTCCGAAGAACTTCCTTGAACATTTCTTATAGTGCAGATCTGCTGGTGGTGGACCTCTCCGCTTTAGTTTGACAGATACTGTAAAGTATTTTGCCTTAATTTGTTTTTAAATAAATTTATTTATTTATATTTGGCTGTGTTGGGTCTTCGTTGCTGCGCACGGGTTTTCTCTGGTTGTGTCCAGCGGGGGCTACTCTTTGTTGCGGTGCACAGGCTTCTCATTGTGGTGGCTTCTCTTGTTGTAGAGCACGGGTTCTAGGCGCGCGGGCTTCAGTAGTTGCAGCACGTGGGCTCAGTAGTTGTGGCTCGCAGGCTCTAGAGCACAGGCTCAGTCACTGTGGTGCGTGGGCTTCGTTGCTCCACGGCACGTGGGATCTTCCCGGACCAGGGTTCGAACCCGTGTCTCCTGCATTGGTAGGCGGATTCTTAACCACTGCGCCACCAGGGAAGTCCTTGCCTTAATTTTTAAATAATATTTTCAGTCGGTAGAGAATGCTAGGTTGAGAGTTTTTGGTTTGCTTTTTACTTGGCACTTTAAAGATCTCACTCCATGGTCCTCTGGCTTTTATAGCTTCTCATGAGAAGTCTTGCGTTGGTCTCACTTTTGTTCCTCTGTACATAATTTGTCTTTTTCCCTCTGGCTGCTTTTAAGATTTTCTCTTTACAAATGTTTTTCAGCAAATTCATTGTGATATGCCTTGGTATTCTTCCATGTCTCTACTTAACATATTCAGTATTTCCTCTGGCTTCTTGAAAATATAGAATATAGTTATAACAGATGTTTTAAGGTCCATGTCTGCTAATTCAATCATCTCTGTCATTTCTAGCTTTGTTTTTATTAATATACTTTTTTTCCTCATGTATCATTTTATTAGATTGTGGACTTCTGCTAACTTAGATTAATGATCATAAAACTATAGCAATGCCATTTCAAGTTACATACCTATAAGCTACCAACAAATAACTTATATACACATAGCTCATCATATTTCAAGCATCTTTTATTGAAATTATGATTACATTTGCTATTGGGATTGCACTGTGTTAAAAATGACTAAAAATTATTTTGAATTTTCATTATCTGCTCAAATTGTATTAAATTAATAATGAATTATTCTTGATACTTCCATAAAACTTGTGTATAAAATATTTTTCCCAGTTTTATTGAGATATATGGACATATAACATTGTATTAGTTTTAGGTATACAACATGATGATTTGACATATGTATATATTGTGAAATGATTACCACAATAAGTTTAGTTAATAACACCTCACATAGTTACAAATTTCTTTTTCTTGTGATGAGAACTTTTACCATCTACTCTCTTAGGAACTTGTAAATATGCAGTACAGTATTATTAACTATTGTAATAATATTTACATGCTGTACATTACATCCACAGAACTTATCTTTAATGTACTTTTCTCCTGGTTATCAATCATATTTTCTTGCTTCTTTGCACACCTGTTAATTTTGATTGGATGCCAGCTGTTATGAATTTCACACTGCTGGATGATGCATTCATTTAAAGTGTGCTGCACTTTGTCCTGACACACTATTAGGTGACCATAGATATTTGATCCTCTGGAGGCCTGCTTTCAAGCTTTGTGAGGGTGTGTCCAGGGCAGCTTTCAGTTAGAGTTAATTTAGCCCCACTACTAAGGTGAGCAACTTCTGAAGCCTCTACCCAATATTCCATGTATTACATTGAACATTTTCATTCCGGCTGGTGGGGAGGAGAGCTGCTCCCAGTCTGTGTGAGCTCCCAGGACTCCTTGTCCCCCCACCTCCCAGGGTTCTCCCGCACTCACAGAGCAGCGCTCAGCCAGAGACCTGTCTGCTGCAGCCCGTGCTCCTCTCTGTGCAACTCTTCCCAGAGCACAGGCTCTAGGCGCGCAGGCTTCAGTAGTTGCAGCACGTGGGCTCAGTAGTTGTGGCTCCTCTCTGTGCAACTCTTCCCTCCATTGTCCTTTCCTATGAATCCCAGCCACTTCAGCCTTCTTGAACTTCAGTCTCTAACTCCTCAACTCAGTGAGACTGACAGGTTCTCTCTTGGTCCCCCTGGCTGGACTGCAGCCTGAACACTCTGTCCAGGCACCAAGTTGGAGAAATCACAGGTCTTTCGTTACTGTTTCCCTTTCTCTGGGGCATCACAGCCCTGCATGTTCACTAGCCAACGCCCCAAACAGTTTTTTTCCACATATATTGTGCCTGGTTTTCTAGTTGTTTATGGTGGGAGGATAATTTCCATAACAGCAATCCTTTGTGGGCAGACACAGAAGTTTCTTGTAGTGTCATTTTACATTTGCTTCTCTGGGGCCCAGACACTGGTCATTTTTATGGGAACTCTTGGCTTGGGATACCTATACCATGTGGTGCTTGTTGTAAACGTGGACCCCACGGATGTGCAGTACTGGCTTGAGGAACCCGTTAACTTTGTTTTTCTCCCCAGAACCACTCCCAGGCAGATGGCGAGCTTCAGTAGAGCTTCTCCATGTCAGCTGGTGATATTTTTACTATCCTTGTTTTGTTTTTTTTTTTGTCTAAACCACCTTTCGTGCAGCCCAGTGCTGTGCTGAGGTCTTGGTGTGCACTTCCCCATCGCAAACGATCCGAATCCATGCCTCTCGTTCTGGCATGGGTATTAGAACTCCAGTCTTAGGCTCTAGGGGCTACATCTAGGTAAAATGAGTATTTTTGCATTATGGAGTCTGTGCATATTTGATTTTTATGTACTTGTAATGTTTTAGATAATTAAACACTTTCCTTCTGGGTCCACTCGTCCTGGGAGGAGAAGGTCAGCCTGCTCAGGCTGGCACTTTCTGCAGGGTCCAGGGGACCCCGGGAAACATCCACCTGCCGTGTCTGACAGTGGGAGGGCAGCAGCTCACTCCTGCCGGTGGTTGGCGTCAGGGTGATAGTGGGGGCTACAGTCAGGTGAGAGGCAAGTTGCAGTCCTGGTCTTTGCAAAGGAGAGGATGTGTAGGTGCCCCTCCAAACTGTGAGGGATTCTGTCGTCCCATCCCTGACCCTTGACAGGACGAAGGCAGGGGTGGCTTTCACAGTTACTCTTTTCCTCCTGTGTTGTGTGTGTGTGTGTGTGTGTGTGGTGGTTGGGGGTTAGGGGTAGGGACGGGGAAGGCCCAAATTCCCTCAAGCAGAAACGCTGCCGCAAGGGGCAGGCCCCAGGCCTGGCAGTTCTCTGAACTTAGAGTGACCATCCTGTAGTGCCTTTTATTCTCAGATGTGGCCTTAGTCGCCAATTCTGGTGCTAGACGCCCCACGCCGTCTTATTATCCTCTGTTGACACGTTACATTCGGTGACTCCGGGTATCTTAACAATGGAAGAGACCTGACAGATCGCCTGGTGAGCTACCAGATGCACAGTGACGGAGCAAGTTCACACCTCTGAACTTCAACCGACCTGGGATGCCTTATGTGATTGTGTTGTGAAGGCACTGCTTCAACCAAAAGGAATTTAAAATTCAGAAGACGTGTTACAAGAAGAGGCCAGAAAGGTCACCCAGCGGAGGCCACCCAGCTGGGCAGCTAAACCAGTAAGAAGGAGAGAAGCACTGACGGGGGAGCAGAGGGGTGTGAACTGTTTATTAGGACCGAGAGCTTCCAAATCACCAGGCCACCCACAGAACGCACACGGCTCTTGTTACAACACACGACACAGGCTGGCTGACTTAATAGCTTGTCTCGTCTGACTGGACGCTGCCGCCTCACTGCGAACCAGGAGAACTGACTGCTGAGAGGCTGGCGGGTCCAGACGGCTCCACAGCACGTGTCTCCTGCCCCCGTTCAACGGCCCTCTGACTTTACCCTGCTCTTTGCCTTAAAACTGTTTCCTAATATTTGCGCTACCAATGTTATTTTCTTAACACAATTTGTAGGTAAAGAAAAACGATTAAAATGTCGTTAGTTGGTGCTTTCTTATATGAATAAAGATTTGACAATCCCCCCGACCCCTAAAGCACGGAGTAGTAAGCACGGAGACTTCCTCGCGCTCAGCTCGAACCCTTCGCACACACGTAGCCCGAGGCAGTGCGGGGTGGCTCGTCCCCCTCGTCCCCCTCGCCCTCCGGTCACTTGGCCTTCTTGTGGCCCTTCGGGCGCTCCTCGGCGACCTTCCTCGCCTCCTCCTCCGGGATGAACACGCTGACGGTGAAGTCGCTGGTCTCCGAGCCGTACTTGTTCTTCACGACCAGCCCATACTTGCCCGAGTCGGACGTTCTGACCCCGCTGATGGTGAAGTAGGCGGTCTTGCCGGCCTCGAACCTGAGGTTGCAGTGCTCGTCCGAGGCCAAGAGCTTCTCGTTCTTCAGCCAGGAGACCTCCGGAGTCGGGTCTCCCCACACTATGCAGGTGAGGTTAAGCGCCTGGAAAACAGGTTTCATGAGAGGGGAGGAGATGTATCAGATTAACGATCCAACTTGAAGCGTCCTTCTGGGGGTCGGCCTGACCGGATGGAGGATAAACCTAAACCTCCCGGGCCGGGCTGTGTGTACCTGTGTGAGTTACAGTTTGAAATCACACCTGAGTAGGTTTCTTTGGGGCCTTGGCTTTCTGGCTTTGGGAACATTTATCATCAAAGCCCCACAAAGGCATTTGCTTCCAGTTCTCATAAACACACAGATGCCTTTTTGCTCTAATGTGGCGTTTTGGACTCTGTCTCAGTAGAGAAATCTCCTCGTTGCCATGATCTCCACCTGCTTGCTTTTGCATTTCGTTTGTGTCACTGGGCCCAGCAGCAGAATCCTAACAGCTGCTTCAGATAATGTGACTCATTTTCATATCCCATCTTCCTCATTTTATTTCTCCCCACAAACCCACTCGAGCTGTTGCAGTTGCAGAGGTGCCCTGCCAGAATGTATTCGTAGTTCCTAATATTTTATTATATTACCAACTGTGCTGAAACCTTCTTATTTTAAAAGATCAATGTTTAGGCCTATAATTTTACTTTATATTTTTGTTGAAATATTTTTTAGATAATCATAGATTCATATACAGTATAAGAAATAATAGATTTTGTATATTCTTTACCCAGTTTCCCCCAATAGTAACATTTTACAAAACTACAGTATAATATCACAACCAGTACACTGACATTGATATAACAGATTTCCCCAGTTTTTCTTGTATTTGTGTGTGTTTAGTTCTATTCAATTCTATCACCTGTCTAGGTTCACGTATCCACAACCTCAGTCAAGATACAGAACCTTTCCATCCCCACAAGGATCCCTCCTGCTGTCCCTTTATAACCACGCCCACTTCTCCCTCCCAAGCTGTTCCTAACTCCTGGCAACCACTAATCTGTTTTCCATTTCTAAAACTTTATAATTTCCAAAGCATTATATAAATAGCATCATGCAGTAATGTAACGTTTTGAGAGTGCCTTTTACACTGAGCATAATTCCTTGCAGATTCATCCAAGTTATTGCAGGTATCAATAGTTTGTCCCTTTCTATTGCTGAGAAGTGTGCCATGGTATGTATATACCTGTAAGGGTCATCTGGGCTGTTTCCAGTGTGGGGCTATTATGAATAAAGCTGCTATGAACATTTGTGTACAGATTTTTATGTGAACATAAGTTTTAATTTCTCTGAGATAAATGCCCAGGAGTACAATTGCTGGGTCATATGGTAAATGTATACTTCATTTGTTTAAGAGATTGTCAAACTGTTTTCCCAAGTAGCTGTATAATTTTGGTCTACATTTCCACCAGCAATGCAGGACTGATGCAGTCTCTCTGCATCTTCACCAGCATTTGTTGTTGTCACTGTCTTTTTATTTTAGCAATTCTGATAGGTGTGTCATGATATTTCATTGTGGTTTTAATTTGCATTTTCCTGATGACCAAAGATGTTAAATTTACTTCACATTTTAAATTCCATTCTTGCATTATTTTTCTTACCGAAGTCCAGAAATTATAAGGAAAAGAGCTAGGGCTCACCATATACGGGGAAAAGGACAGCCTTCTATCTAGAAGGACCTTATATGATCACTTGTTACCTCTTCTGTAAGAGTATTATTTAGAATTGGGTAGATATTAAGAAATTTGTTTTCTTCCCATGATTAATTAGCACTTCTGACTGAATTATTCTGCAAACACATTTCAGCAAGAAAAATATGAGTCAAACTATCGACATTGAATTTATCCAAGCAGACCACGTGTATGTTCCGGGAAACTGTGATTTCGTGCATATTAAAACTTTTATCAAAACTAAACAAAACTCCCATGCACCTTAGGTGTCCAGGAAAACTCTTACCTGTACTATATATTTGAGTTATAGATCACGGGATGCTTTCACATACATTCTCTCTCTTAATTCTCACTACCACCCAGTGAGTTGAATATTTTGAACCTCATTAGGTGAAGAAAATGGAAAATAGAGTTTCAAAACAAAAGCAACCCTGCAGCAGTTGAGCTTAAAGTCAACTGTGGTCCTATTTTCCAGGCATGAAGAAACATAGCTGGATGAACTGACCTCTCATTAAAGCCTTAGATGTGCCCTGTTCATCATCATAGTCCCAGTCACCCATCATACGTCTTCATTGCCCTTTGGAGGTGGGAAAAGATGTTGTTCCACTACAAACACCCCTCCTCCTGTGATTGGCATATTAAATTTGTTTTAATGAAACACAGGGATGAAGAAAGTGAATCCAGGTTAGAAATTACGTTCACTGCTCTTCAGAGAGATTCTTATGGATCCAAGAAATACCAGTTTAAAACCAAATGGAAATAAATCAGTTTTCAGCTGAGAAGGGGCCTGTAGAAATTCACAGAGCAGCACGTTTCCCTCCAAATGTGAGGAATCTCATAGGTCAGCCCATTTTCTACTAGTGTGAGAGGTTGCTTCTTCAATTATGTTCATCACATAGTTATGACTGAACATTTTCTGCTTCTCCTGATGTTAAAGGGAAATCACTTCTGGAAAGAGACTAAGAGGTCTACATATACCCACATCAGACAAACGTGCATCCTGATGCTTGACCTACAAAACATCAAGCTGAGTGGAAAGCCGACTGCATTTTGAACCTTGTTTGTGGCTATTCTGGAGTCAGGCGTAGCAGCCGTGGCATATGATGGAGATGGTAGGATGCATCTTAAACGAAGGAACAAAGTCTGGGGCACTGGAACCCCTTCCTAGCGTGGAAGAATTGGGGACAGGAGTGCTCCATGCTTACCTTGCCCTCCTGGATGGTGACCACATCGGGGAGACCTCCCACTACCCGGGCGCGATCTGCAAGCACAGGCATTTCTGGTTAATCACTGAAACGATGAGCGCCAGCAATCACACGCACAAAGCCTCCCAGCGGAACTCATTTTCCCGTTTAGTTTCCCTCTCCTTGCAGTTATTTTATGCCTGCTTTCAATATGCAAAATAAGAAAATGATCCAGTAATTCTGAATGTTCTTCTTCTTCACACACGGGTGTCTCTATCTGTACCTGAAATATCAACTGGAGGTCACTTTGTTGTATCGAGATCTGCTCTGTAACCTTCCCGGCTATTCTCAGCCCTGGCTCTCCTGGAGGCAGAGCAGATCTTGGCCTCTTTCATGGGCTTCTCTCTGATTCGAAAAGGTTGCGTAACCGGAGGCTGTGTGCCAGGGAGATCTGGAGGCTGGAGAAGATGTGGGCTTTCCTTGGGGCCTTCCCTAGAGAGTTCCCCTTCCTCATCTCCCGGGAGTTCTTGAGATGCTCTGCAGAGCTCCTGTCTATGGCTGAGGGGACAGGGGGTGGGAAGGGTGCTGAAATCCAGGGCTGACACCCCCCCCTCCCCCGCAAGCCTTGTGCTGTGGGTGTGACTGCCTCGGCCCGAGGGAAGGACACCTTTCTGTCATTCAGTCAACACTAACGCAGTAGCCACCACCCTCTCATTTTTAGCCTACTTCAATGAATGTGTGACTCTACATCCTTATTTCTATCAATACAATCCCTTCTCCAGTAAGTCAGGCCAAATCTTTGAATGAGTCTTAACTGCCTTCTCCTGCTGACTCCGTTGCCCTTACACCACTTGTGGGCCCAGCCCATCACCTGGCCCCCTGCACCACCTGCCGTGTGGTATTAGGTGAGTCACGTCGCTGTGTGGACCTCAGTGTCCTCATCGGTGGGGCGGGGGGCTTGCGTTAAACCCATGGACATGAAGCTTCTAAACTCTGCTCCGTGGCATCGCTGGGATTCATCCTGACTCCACCGAAGATAATTCAGCTCTTACCTATTTTATATATTGGGAAGATTTTGTTTGAACTAAGTGTTCTATGAAAATGTTTAAGAACATGGAGCTAGAAGGGCTCTCAGGTCTCTTCCGGCTCTGAGCTGCTGTGGTCCAGAGACCTCTAGAAGGAGCATATGAAGCAGAGGGAGGGTCAGGCTCCTTGTCCACAAGAGAGTTCAAGAACGGGCGAGGCCTGGGTCTGGCTCTGACACTCTCCCGTTGTGCCTGGTGCTGGCCTCGGCCTCACAAGCCCCAGGCGGGAGCGGGAGGGAGGAAGGAGGGGGAAGGAGGGAGGAAGGCCTTGCAGGTCAAAGGTAAAAAGTTCCCTTCTGAGCGACCAGGAGCCACTGACAGGTGGACAACTCCACTTCTCACTCTTCCTCCTGGTTCCCTTCCACCCAGCTCAGGGCCAACCCTACAACTTTAACCCTCAACGGTTTTCAGGTTCTGCTCCCACGCTGAGAAAGAACCTGAGTTATCACGATGATTCGTCTGTGACTCCTGGGATCCTGTAGACTGAGTTCTAGAAATTTCTGTGTGAAGCACGGTTGAGAGAGGTCAGGAGTCAGCACAGTTTTAGAGACACAGGCTTGACTGCTGGGTCAGGGTCACTCAGCCTTATTTGGCCCCTCAGGAAAATGGGACTCCTTGCTGGGGGACCAGCTATAGGGATTCACCTGATACCAAACCTACAAAGTTTCCTATTTTTTCTTCTCTTTAACATATATACATTTTTCTGACACATGGCGCCTGCTGCAAGCGATTAAAATCCTACTGTGTGATTTGCAGCCTAGAGGTGTTTCAAGTCAAGGCTGGGTGCCATTCTCACAGTGTAACCTGAGACCTTCTTTTCACAGACATTCTTACTGAAGAGACTAAATGAAAACACATGCAGAACAGCTAAGATTTAAAATATAGAGAGAGAAATGAAAGAAAAGGAAAAAAAAATGCTTCCACTCTCCTACATCTGCAGTCATAACAGAAAAACAAAAGTTGTATTTTGAAACCACAGCAGGAATAAACACGAAGGGGTTTACTTACTTTTCTCCACGATGGCAGCTTGTCTGTGGTTGAGAGAAACAAACAAACACACAAACAAAGAAGGATTTTGTTTTAGTGTTACTTCAAAGTAGCCAACCTCGACTGCATTTCATGTTTTTGTTGCTCAACAAAGCGGCAGGAAATGCTGCTCAGACTGCGCTTGCCCGAATGAAAGACCCTCTGACAGCCAATGGGGAGCAGCGCGCATCAGAGACAAGAGTGCCACGCTGGGAAAGAGGGACTTACTTTAATCTCTGGAATTCATCAAAGGCTTCGTCGTACGCTTGAAGAGACAAAAAAGAGAAGTTAGAATTTTCTCTCCCAGAACTGGCCACACACAGGGGTCTATTAAAGCTCACAACCTTTAATAGACCAGTGTAGGGCAGTGTAAGCGGTCCAGACAAAATTCAGCTGGCTTTGAATGAGGCTGCGCCCGAGCGGTCCCTCTACAACTTGATGGGCTTAACAAGAGAAGCAAACACTTTCTAGGCAGAAAGCATGAAATAGTGGATTTTAGAAGCTCTCAATTCAGTGAGAAGCCTTCAACCCTCCAAATAGAAAGGGAAAGATTTGCTCTGCCGAAGATGAAATGGAAAGAAAGGTGTTTCAAAAACTGCTTGGCTGTCTATTAAGCATCCTGAGCATCAGAAAAGCTTTTCTCTCATTAAATCATCCCGCACGCCACAGCCTCCTAGCTGGACAGCTCTGTGGTCCTGCCCGTGCGTTTGCGGTAAAGGGCACGAGGAATTACTACGATCACAGTGCGGGCCAGTGCGGGCCTGAAGCGATGCTTGTACACTGTGCAGGGGACAAAAAATAAGACAGGGAGACAAGGAAATGAGAGCTATGGAGCTCTAAGATAATTATTTTTTTTCCGAGCCTGCGAGTAAGGCACTTGGAAGACTTCAGGCCATAAAGCTTCACTTTTAAATTTCTCTCATCTGGTCTTTAAGCTCCTCTGTGGTCTGGGAATCACAACATTTTATGTCTAGAAAATATGTCCATAATACTAGTTTGCTCTCTTCTTTACAGAAGGGAAAAATAAGCGTAAAGCCAGGCTTAAAGCCTCTAGACCAGCTGGGCTAAGGCAGGCTAGTTAGGGCTGCTTTTCCTGCTCATGCCACACTAGGAGATGGGCACGGCTGGGCCAGTGTGTTTGGTGCCAGTGGCAACGCTGGTCAGACAATCCAGGGCCTTTTGCTTAAGGGGGATTTGAGAGCGGGGTAGTTAAATGAGCTTCGGTGAGCAGAGAGTAAAAGCAAATTTTAAATAAGTTTTGAATGTATCTGCCCACTTCTTGTCTCCCTTTTCTATTGTGTCTCCAAGTGTCAGATGGATCGCAGAAGCAATTCCCCATCACAATCTCTGCAGGCTGTGACTTGGGCACAGTGTGGCCGGGGGACCAAGTCCCTGGGGAACTGCTCATCCCCACAGAGATCCTTCAGGGAGCCTTTCCAGTCATAAAGGGTGGGTGGGGGTGAGGGGAGGGGTACTCAGCCCAAAACAACCCGGGGCAGGGTTGAAAGGCTGCTCTCTAAGTTGTGAATCTACTCTGAGGATGAAAACATGAAGAGTCATTGCATTTTAATATACGAAGCCGTAGAGGAAAAGTCAGCCCACAGTCTCCTTTGGTAACTTCATACAAACTCCTTCTTTCTTTAGGAAAGAGTAAGATGAGCAAAGTACCAGAAGAGGGAGAAATGGCACAGGGTTTTTAACTTTTTATTTGTGATTGTACATTTTTTAACTTTTAAAATTCTAATTAATAGCTGCATATCACCTTTCCTGTCTGTTCTTAGATGGAAAACTGCCTTCTGCATCTCATTACTTTCTTTTCCATGTCCCTATTCTTTCCAGAGCCCCTCATTCTCCCAAAAGGCTGAGAAATCTGAGGCCACTTTTCTAACTTCCCTCTGTTCCCCTCAATATTTATCTTTGCTTATTCACATTTACTCCTTTCTGGTTTCTGAAGAAAAGGTATCCCTGCTCCTTCCCAAAGCCATTGCGTCCACCTCTGCCCCGCAACTCCAAGCTTCTGTTCTTCAGAACCCTGAGACATCAATTATTCCCTATCATTCACATCTCCAATCCTTCCAAATCAACTGATTTCTTGGACTCTATGAACATGCTTGCTTTTCAGTCACCATAAAATGATCCTTTTTCAGTGTTTGTTCTTGCTCAATTGATTGTAAATCAACCTGCCCTTCTCTGTAAGCATCTTGGAAGAGCAGCGCTTTCTCTCCACGTTCACTGTCTCCACTTTACTTTTTACTGATTCTCCACTCATTGAATTTTTGCTTCTACCACGGTGGCTGAATTTAAACTGCTTTATTAAAATCTCCCATCGTCTTCCAATAGTCAAGCGTAATGCCCTCTTATCACACTTCATTCCTTTTAAAATGCCCTCATCTCCACAGTAGGTTCCAACCTGCAGATGATCCGTTTACCTTGTCCAGAAAGATCCACTGTCTTCTGGTGTCCAGTTTTGCCGTCAAAGAGCTCCATCACGTATTTCCCTTTGTCACTCGGAGTGGGCTCGTTGATCTGCAGCCAGATCTGCTCCCCGGTGACCCCACTCTTAACTCTGTCTGTGTACTTAATAGCAGTCCCGCTGTTTTTATCAAAAGAAAACATCGTAATCATTGGCTTTCATCCAGAGCTTATCTTTACTTTGTCTCTTCTTACTGGAGGTCTTACCATAAAGTTGTACAGGCTTTGAAATAACATGGGATCGGCATATGTTCTTCTGCTTCAGAGAAATTATGGGCCCTGAATCACAGAGCGTGGATTCCAAGGCCTGGGGTGGGGGTCTGGCAGTCTGCATATTTCACTCCCAACAGCAGTCTGGGGCCCAGATTGCAGCACCAATACTTCTCAGGGGTATTAATTATCTTTGTTTCCACTCAGGTTTATTTGTAGGACTAAGGGAATCTTTAAAGTGAGAAGGCCAAAGTCCATATTATATTACTGCATATTTCATGCAGATGGTCCGTGGCTATAAATGGGATTTTACAGGCTAGTTAAAAACAGACCTAAAGAGGTTCATCTGTGGCTGACATCTATTGACACACATGGTTACAAAGCTATTTAAAACAAACGTAAATGTGCACTCGGTAGTACAGCCAAGAATAAATGAAAAGCAGAGTTGCTGTCAGAATGAATGAGGCACTTTCTCTGACCCTGGATGTGAGTTTCCCCATATTCTATAGTAGGTCACGAGCATACCCATGCATTGTATTCTTTACAAGAGAATAAAAGCAAATAGAACCCTTTCATCTGACAGTCTAGAAATGCTACTGTTACAGATGAAGTAAGAGGAAGGCAGAGGTAGTGTACTCTCAATGATGTTAAAATAAACTCTATGAAGAGTTTGTAAACGTGAAGAAGTAAGAAAAAAAAGCAGTATACAAAACTACTTTATTATGGTAACAATTATGCATAGAGAAAAGACCGGAAGGAAGTATCCCAAAATGTTCATACTATGGCTAGGAAAACCATGGATGATACCATAGTATAAACTCTTTCTAATTTGTAATATGATATTAAATATATTTTCTAAAACATGTATTATGTTTGTGGTTGTAATAAACAAAATGAACTTAAAAAAATAAAAACCAAAAAATCTCCACCAAAAAAATTTCAGACTTCAAATAAATATTCAGCATTTTTCTTATATACTACATTCTTTAAAAGATATTAAAATTAAAATGCCATAAAGTGTAGGGTAAAGGAACCCATCTGTACACATAGACGTTAGCCTGAGCAATACAGTATATGTCTTAGAGAGTTAGAAAGACAGATAGTTCTCAGCTTTGCTAATGGTAAGTCTGTCTGAGTTCTTTAATCTCTAGCTAATATGCATAATAGTACCTTAATAGGTGCTAGGTTTGTAAAGCACTTCACGGTTCACAAAATGCCATTCATTCCCTCATTGGGTCCATCAGTGTTATGAGCTAGAACAGGTATTATTGCTCCTATTTTATATGAGAGAATCCTGGGATTCAGAAAATTAGATGACTTGTCTAAGATCCAAGGGAAGACAGGAGCCAAGTGAAGATCCAAACCTGTTTCAAGGTTTTTTTCCTCATCACACCACATACTTACATAAAGACAGGGAAGACAACCAGTCCTTGGTTCCTGAACCTTTAACAGGCACACATGTGTGTGCACACAAAACACGCATTTAGCTGACTAGACCAAACAAAGTTTATCTCTTGCTACTCTGGGAGCAGTTTCCTCAAAACACAATGTTCTAATTTTTTTGAACATGTATTCTTTTAGAGATTATGTAAAGCCTTTTGATTGATGATTCAATTAATTTATCGTCTCATTCTTCAGAGGGATATATTAGAATGTCCTAGATGTCACGGAGGAATTTCCTAGAATTTGATCTATTTTAACTTATAATTACTTTCCTAAAATGTATTCTGAAAGAAATAGAACAAAGGAATGAAACTCCAAGCATTCAAAGTGGAATTTCACTTGTTCTCATTTTTTTTTAAAGGACTCAGGGAATTATTAGTAATGATAATAAACGTAATAAAATACTATTCTAAAACAGTGAAGTCATTTTAGAGAAAACACAAATGACTGTTTTGTGGGACCCAGCTCTGCTTAAATGTTCAGTCTAGACTTTCAATGCAACTTGAACCTGGGGTACTGCCGTGATGGGGCGGGGGCTCTGGAGCCAGGCTGCCTGGGCTCAGCCCTCCACCTGTCACATAGCTGTGTGACCTCAGGCAAGTCACCTCCCTGAGTCTGAGCTTCCTAGTCGCTAAAGTGAGAAGAACCTACTTCGTAGAGTTTGAATATTAAATGAATTCACACATCTAAAGGGCTTGGAGCAGTGCCCAGCGTATTGTAAATGTCCACTGAAGGGAAGATCTAAATAAACATTGTTGTCCGTGTCCTCCCAGGGATGCCACGGCGACCTTCTCCTCAGTGAGGCTCATAAGGACTTCGGGAATTGGCATCTGCTGCATCCCAAGAGTGGACTAAAGGTACACGTTTCTTTGGCAGACTGCTGTCCTCTTTCAGCTCAGGAAATTTCAAGGAAGCACAGAGATCAAGGACCCTGGTGATGGTATAAGTGGGAGACCTGGTTTGACTAAGAAACCTATTTCAGCTCTTGGAATCCCCAAGGAAAACTTGAGTGAAATCCCTCTATAACTGCGCGAAGGAAGCCTGGGATTAGAACAGATCTTCAGGCTCAATCCAGTTCAAATACACATTCCCAAAGTCATCTTGAGATCTCCAAAACCTTCCAAGGAAACATGCTAATACCCACTCTGCCAACTGCTATGAACAACAACGATGATAAACTCGGGCACTGCTCTAGATCAGGCTTATTGGGTCATCGGCCATTAATTCATACAACAGGAAATCTGGTGCAATGCTGCCTCAGTTTTGTTCCAGAGCACAGTGTGGCTTAGGAGTGTGTAGAAAGATGGAATAAGAATCTGGCAAAGCATGACTGTACGGAGGCAGAGGTCACGTTACTGAGGCGTCTACAAGTTATGATACGTCCCAGATCACAAAGACAGAGGCTTTAAGCCATCGCTGGCCTCACCATGTACGTGCTGAGGGAGAGTGCTAACCTCACACTAAAGGGATGGGCTGGTGCTTCTGTCCTACACTCATCAACATCAGACCCGAGAAGTAAGAAGACGCCTTACCTGAGAGGAACAGAGGGTTGTTGTTTTTCCCAGTCCTTCCCCTGAGTGGAGAAAGAATTTCTACACAGCATTTACGTTGTTATTTACTTACTTGTGGGACCAGTTAACTTTCAGATCATCCACGTAGTAAGTAACAAAAGAGTACAGCCGGATGCCCTCAACTGTGCTCTGGATCTTCAGGTCTGTTGCAGACAAAGCTGCAAGAAGAAAACACATTATTTCAAACACCTGTAAGCCCATCCTGGAGAAGAATGAGGCATTGCCCTGTGAGAACTTACCTATTGTTTTACATACTTCAGCCATCAGTTCTTTAAAGGCTGTGGATAGAGATTCACAAACAAAGTTTCAAGCATAGAAATTCTCAATGTCAAGTCAAATCTCAAACTGTTAGTCACACTTGCTCTCAAAAACATCCAGTCACAAGGTGAATTTATTGACCAATTGGTAACAAAGAACTTAATTTTTATCAAGTTTCAAAAGATTCCTGCTCTTATTTTGATATTTTTGCTCCCTTGAATTCTTTGTAACTGTCACCATGTTTACATTCTAGAGAAAGAGCCACAATGAGATTTCCAGGAAGCTTCTTGGTTTTAGGATTCTCGTCTTCCTAAGTCCCAGGAAGGCTTCATTTACATTAGAGGAAGTGTTCTTATCTGTGTCATCAATTCATGATGAATAACCATCTAGGTCCCCTGGTATTTCTCAGCCAATAAACACATTTAGTCCTGCCTCCACAAGGAGTAGGAAGGGAAATCAAAGGCATACTTCTGCTGTTCGTTAGCAACGTTGTTAAAGATCTTGTTCAGGAACAAAACTGGAAATGCGGGCATCCCATGTAGGTTTTCGTTATCATGATATAATTGTCCTCAGTAGTCTCTGGAAAATGGAAGTTGCTTTCTTGCTCTGCTATTAACTGAGGGGCTTCGAGTTTCATATATAATCTTTCTTGCCACCTTTTAGAGAGTGGACTCTTTTGAGACATGCTTTCATGGTAGTTTTTGATCCTGGAACATTTTCCATAGGGTTGAAATAAAAATGATGATTTATATTGAAAACAGACCTCTCGTGGATTGTGGACTATAAACTGTCTGAGGATCAAAACTATACTTCTGATTTCAAGGAAGACTAAAAGTGAAGTATTTTTTAATAAAACAGTAGTTCGCTCAGCTGGAAGGGCAATTAAAACAAAATCTGTGGGCAAAAGATCAACATGACTTCAATCATTCAGCTCAGCCTCACTCAGAATTCTGGTCACCTGTATACAGAACACACAGAATGGACCCCAGCAGTGGGTGGACTGACCTTCATCCACAAGCTTCAATCTGCTCTTATCTTTTCCTCTGTCGTCTTTCAGGATAACTTCATAAATCCCAGCATCTTTCTTTGAAAACTAAGGGGGGAATAGATATACCACATTATAACTTATTGTAGCCTCAGAATACGGTGTTTGCATCTTTCAGGCCCTGAGATTTATAGAACTGCCATCAAAACACACTGAACAAGCATCTAGCCATGAGAGCAATGAACAGTTCACACGTGAACTATCCATCATAACCTGACCAGCCAGCAGTCCTGAGTTTTCACCCTCTAAGGCTACAATTGATTTGAGGCTTAAAGTCCTTATCTTTTACTCTGCCTTCATATTAAAAACTAATGAGCACATGTATTTGAAAGGCATGCTCTTTTAGACAAAAAGTAGATAAAAATCTATACTTAAGTGCATACTATGATCGTCTCTGTACCTTTAGGGAACAAGTTATCATGAGGCTTAAGAGCAAACAAAGAAGGATCCACTTAACTGTCCTGCCACTCACCCATCTATGAAAAAAACTAGCTCAGAGAGGCAAGAATTGTGGTGTCCAGCCAACATTGTTTGGATATCTGACAAATCCTTGCATATCACAAGGTGAGAGAAGCCTTTGTGTCCTTACAGCTTGCTTTTGGGGTGACATCAGGGCAGGGATCTTTGCCCGGGGCTAAGGAACACATAATCTAGTCTCTGTATTTTAGAAGAATGTAGGGTACAGAACTAATACATTACAGTTTATATTTATAGTCACCTACCTCTGTTATAAGGAGGGTACATATACCATCCTTAAAGTCATGCTTTTCATCCACTGATATCTCCCTTTCATCTTTATACCACACAATATGAGTCTCCTTCTTAATATTTGCCACCTAGAAGAAAAACTGTAGTTATACTTCTCGAAATAAGGGAATGCTACTCTTATGAAACTAAATAATTCTCAATGTAGCATTGGATATAAGAAAAAGCATAGATTTCTAGAGGAATCAATTGAAAGCTATTTTAACTGATAAAGAGTTTAAAATAAAATGGATACAAAAGAATAAACCGAAATCAATAGCATCTTTATTTCCAGCAGAAAGAAATTTGTCTTTAAAATCACCTGGTGGACAAGAAAACACAGAAACATGCATACTAACATACAGAATTAAGTAAAAATAAAAATTTGAAAACCAAAGGAAGATAAATCCCATCAGATTAAAATATAGTCTGTGTCACAAAAACAAATGACTTTATCAAAGTATCAGAATGAGTAAGCCTCAATCTATGGCTAAATATTTTTTAAAAGGTAAATGAAGCTTTGTAAATAAATGTGGAAAGGAAATGTGTTTAAAATTATTTAATTAAAAATTTTTCCAGTTTTATTGAGATATAATTGATATAATATTGTATGTTTAGGGTATACAACATAATGATTTGATATATGCATATATTGTGAAATGATTAACACAGTGAGTTCAGTTAGCATCCATCAAATATGGTTTAATAAATTAATTGCTTAGCAATTTTTAGGAAACTCATTTAGATCCAATATCCACACATCATATCATAAATTTCAAATGGGCAAAATGACTTCATACGATTAAAGGGATTTTAAGCTTTATCTACAATGCTTGAACTTTCTATGAAGAAGAGTATATTCATGTATTTCTTGTGTAATTAAAATTATATGAAAAAGTAAAGACTTCATACAAATCAAGAAAACAATCTCAAAGACCCCACTACATAATTGGACAAATGTATGTATGATTTCCCAAAGAGGAAATATAATTACAGAACAAACAGATGAAGAAAATGTTTGATCTCATTAAAGACAAGGAAATGTAAGTTTCAAAAAAGAAAAAAAAAATCTCAGCTAATACATCAACATAAGAACCAACACTGGTAACTGCAGTGAAACCAGAACACACAAACGTTCTTTATAATCCTGTAAACTGGTTCCTGGGTTGTAACTGTGTTACTAGGCAACATTGCTTATGATAAACATGCCCCGCAGATGGGAAAGCTACCACTGGACTGGGCGGGACTAGAAATGGACTCCGTGGCTTTGGGCTTCCCTGAATATACTCTTGTTATTCGGACATGGTCCCTGCGAGGACCCTGGAAGCTCTGCTTGGGGCGTTGTTACAAGCGGTATTGGCCCTTTGGGGCACGAGGGATTTTTTAAAGCCATGGCATTTCCTGCACCTGCCCAAAGTGGAGCTTGTCTCCTTGCACCTGAGCTGTCACCTGTGGGTGGTGAAGGGAGTGATTCCTGATGTGGGCTCCTGCAGGACAGGAGTACCCAGCATGGCCTTGTAGGCAAGCTGGGGTTCTTGTCCATATTCTTTTGAGTAGACTAGCTCCAAGTGGGGCCCACGGTAGTCTCAGAGTCTGAATGTTTGGCTGCACATACTCCATTAACTCTAATGCAATATGTAAATTGCTAAATGTACATAAATTGCTATAATAATGAAACAAAGAACTGTGGGAGGACAGAGGAAGGTTCATTTTACCCAGACTGAGAAGGGGGAGGCCTTACAGAGGAGATGACTGAGTTGGGCCTTGAAAAAGGATCGTGTCAGAGAAGCTGAAAGAAGAAGGCCATTCGAAGTCATGAATACATAACGAATGAATATTCAGAACCTACTTCTAGGCTCCTGTGGTTGGTCAGGATCTGGGTAAGGGGCTGATTGTCTTGAAGAAAACCTTCAGAATAGGGCTGCAGAGCTCACTTCCCAGAAGCCTAGTGCAATAGGAAGCACAGAAAGAAGGACGCACGGACGTGGGGGCCCCTGAGGAAGGGATGGTTTCTGGGGAGGGCAGTGTGAGGAAAAAGTAAGTAGGGGCACGCAGCTGTGGACAGTCAGGAGGAGAGAGAGGTGCTGCGGGTTTTAGCTGCTGCCTGAGAAAGTGTTTTTCAAGAAGCTCTGCCACTTCCTAAGAGGCTAAAATCCAGCACTGGTTTTTCCTATACATTTCTGGTAGACCGCTGTTTCTTTGACTTTGTCAGATCTAGCAGAGACTGGAGTATTTGCGTTCTGGCTTTTATAATGACAACTACGTGCGAAACGCCAAATCTGTGCATCTGCTTTGGGGTCACTGTCCACCATCACAGCCTTCACACTCCAACCTCATCCAGCAGTTCTTATCCAAAAACGTTTGATGACTCACGGAGCTGCACACCATACACTCAGGTACATGATAATTTAGAATGTGATGTGGAACTTTTTTTTCCTAAATGTTTCAAAGGCCTAATAAGATAATTGGTTGTGAGCTGCAAACTCTTTACCAAACCTCTCCCCTCAAGGGAGCACAGGGGTTTCAGAAGCAGCAGCAGAGCTGCCCAAGACTCGAAGGTACTGTTGTGCAAGTCACACAATTTAGGTTTAAAAAATTGCCAAACTTCCACAGAAACACAGTGTGGCTGGAATGATTCTGGAATAGATCTACCACTTAGAATGCAACGAAGATGATGAGAGAGTCTTCTGAGATTAATAACTGAAAAAGAGTTGGTGGGTGTGGTTAGTGAGGGACGAGCAAGCAGAGCACAGAGGCTTTTCAGGGCAGTGAAAATGCTCTGTATGATACTATAAGGACGGGTACATGTTTTTACACACTTGTCCAAACTCATGGAATGTACAACTCCAAGAGTGCACCCTAATGTAAGCTATGGATTTTGGGTAATGATGTGTCCATATAGGTTCATCAGTTGTAACAAATGTACCACTTTGGTGGGAATGTTGATAATGAGCGAGGCTATGTGTATATAGGGACAGGGGTGTATGGGAAATCTCTGCACCTTCCCTTCAAATTTGCTGTGAACATAAAACTGCTCTAAAAAAAGTGGTCTTACAGGAATAAAGACGCAGACCTACTGGAGAACGGACTTGAGGATATGGGGAGGGGGAAGGGTGAGCTGTGACAGGGCGAGAGAGAGTCATGGACATATACACACTAACAAACGTAGTAAAGTAGATAGCTAGTGGGCAGCAGCCGCATGGCACAGGGATATTGGCTCGGTGCTTTGTGGCAGCCTGGAGGGGTGGGATAGGGAGGGTGGGAGGGAGGGAGACGCAAGAGGGAAGACATATGGGAACATATGTATATGTATAACTGATTCACTTTGTTATGGGGCAGAAACTAACACACCATTGTAAAGCAATTATACCCCAATAAAGATGTTTAAAAAAAAAAAAGTGGTCTTAATAAAAAAAAAGGAGAGTCTGTTCTTATTAAATAGGGCATGAGTAATGAATAAAAACTATCATCTTAACTTCCCATATTTTTATGTTGTTTTATTTTAAATATTTCTTACCAACCAACAGTAACATTCAACAGTAAAGGCACATTCAACAGTAAAGGTAGAAATTTATCTACTTCTTACCTTGCATTTCAATAGTACATTACATTCACCAGTCACTTCCCAGCTCAAATACTCAGCGAAATGTGGACCTATAAAATTTTAATAATATCAGCAATCAGCAATATTAATCATGAATGCAAAAATCCAAGCTCATTCTTAAATTCTAAGGTGATTTACATCTAAAGGGAAATTTTAAAAATTCAAGATTTAGTTTTTAAATGTTTTAAATGGATACATATTTAATAATAAATATTTTTCAATTATTTTTATTAACCAGGGCATTATTAACATAAGCAATAATATTCACTTAATTTGTTATGGAAATAATCTTGGAATATTTTGTTCAAGAAATTGAAGCTTTTCTCTTTATTCACTGCCTATGTTTACCTTGTTTCCTGATACATTCTTGACGCTGGAATTCAGCTTCTTTCTGGAGCTTCTTATAAACTGAAAATTGAAAAATGAGGAAATATGAAATTGAGTTGAGTGGTATAAATGTACATGCCAGTCACTGTGTTAAGTGATTTATATTCGTTGTTATAACACTCATACACCATGACCACCCTATTTGTTTTCAGTATTCATAGATGAAGAAAAAGGCTTAGAAAGGTTAAGAAACTTGTTCAAGGTCATGAAGTCAGGAAATAGTGAAACAGCTTTGGCGATTGCAAATGTAGAGACCTGGCCAGCCTTTCCATTGCTTTATTAAATACCACATTTTAAATCTTGGTGATTTCCACACTGGCTTATGACAGCTGTCATACAACCTAGTTCTAACGGATAATCATCCATCAGATTTGGCATCCTCTACTCTTGCATGTTTATCTTCTTCATTTAAGTAATTTAAAGTAGGTACACATTATAAGATAGTATCGTAGTTTGTTTCTGAGACATAATACTATCTTGGTTGTATTGCAATATCCTTCACTGGAGAATTTTAGTAATAAATACTTGTTTATATACGAGATAATTTAAGTGCAGTATTGCCTGTGGGCCAGTGATAACTTTGGTGTCCTTTTAAATCAACTTTCAATTCTATGAAATGAAATACTATGGAAAGTATTCATTGCAAATTGCACTTTGAACATTGGAATCTAATCAAGAAATAATTTTTACTTCCTCCCACATGGTCACTTTCGTGCGATGGCGTATTTGCATTGAAGGGAGTAGCAAAATCTTCCAGATAATGTTTCACAGAACACTTACCATCTCCAATGAGAACAAGAGTAGAATGGCCAGTTGCTCTTCCATCTTGAACCTGGAAAGTATATGTGCCCTCATCCTCATCCTGCAGCTTTTCCATAAACATCTCAATTATACCAGTGTTTCGGTCAATATGCATCTTATATTTCTTCAATGTGACAAGTAAAAGAGAGAAATAAGTGAGATAGATAGGATGACAATAAGCCATATAAAATCAACACACAAACTCCAAAGTATCATAATTTAATAGTTTCTTGTTAACATTATTTTAAGTGAGCAAAGTTTCAAAATCTTGTACACAGAAAAAGGAAAATATTATGTGGAATATATGATGTTGACCAGAACTGATTACTAAAAGTCTGACGTTTAGTTTTTTAAACATAAACTTTTGTTACCCCAAATTACAAAATGTTATCGAAAAGTTGTTTTTAGATTCTCATTTTTCTTTCCAGATCACATTATTTTCAATTAACAGAATAATGCAACAACTATAAGCAACGTGAGAGCAGTGTTTGTCTCAATCATTGCTATACCCCGGGCACGTAGCACAAGCATGGAGTATAGCAGCCAGTTGATAAACATCTGCTGAATTAATACATGGATAAAAATGCTTCTAAAGCACTGGAAGCCCATTTGCTCTTAATGAACAGAAATTGCCCTGCTAGCCTGTGCTTATTTTATTGTCTTCCTTAAGCAACTTGTTTTTCAATGTAAAGATAAGTCTTAGTCCTTGGGCTTCCAAGCTCAAGTTCCATAACAGATCTGAACTAATGAAGTTTTCCTATAAAATGTCACAGAATGAAGGCTCAGGTCTGGGATCAACTCTGTGGTGTAATTCATGCCCTGGAGTTTCCCCTGCAGGGAGCCAGTCTTCAACAGAGACTCCGTTTTGGATTAGCTTGCCCCATACCTTGGCTTGTGTCCCTCACTCCTACCCCTGAGAGTAACCCCCATAAACCACTTGAAGGAGAAACTCTATTTCAGACTCTCCTAGGGAACCTGACCTAAGACGGTAATTTCCACCCAGTGAAATAGTGTGATTAGAACCAATTGCAATGACAATAAACCGCTCTTCAAGTTCTGTGTGTGTGCGTGTGTGTTTGTGCGTGTGTGTGCATGTGCCACATGCGTGTGTGAACACATGAAGGGGAGTGCCTCTACACACGTGGGCACGAGTGTTCCCTCAATGGCTGTGGTGGCAGTGATGCCAACAAGGCTCTTCCTTCCTCTCCACCGGCCAGATGGTGATCACCACAGTGGATGAGAACATTTTGAAAACAGGGAGATGGGCCACAGTGGACCCATGTGTGACTTGTTCCTGCTCTCACACAGTTACTACATGAGTTGAGAAGTAATATACTGCGTATTCTTCTGCTATTCATGTTACTCATTCTCCCTCTAACTAATGAACCCTCAAATATTTTTTAAAAACACATTTTGATGAAAGGGGAACAGGTTGTTAATCATGGCCACAAACCACACCTCTCCCCCATCTTTTTAGTCTCCCATTTACACCCATGAGAAGACAGGTATGAGACAGGGCCCCTAAACCCAAGTTCTTCAGTACCACCAGGCACAAGCCTGATGCTGGCTCTACTGATGTCTGGGGAGGACAGATAAAGTGCAGATGTTGTAACTCTATCCATAGAAACTATGTTTACATTAAAAGCAAAGAAATAGTAAATATGATATACATAATCACCTATGTAAATAATACACAAATTGACATACACACATAGAAGTATAGAAAAAGACCAAAAGTATATATTAATATGTATATCAAAAAGTTGTAAGAATTTGTGGTTTGTCTCTTCTGAGTCTTTAAAGTTTTTTACAATAAGGATGAATTGTATTTTTAATCAGAAAAGCAATGAGATTTTTTTTTACATTTTTTTCTGAGCCATTAGAACAATTCTTCCATATGAAGAACCAAGATGCCACTGGAGTCTCTGATGTGAGTATCTGTGTTCAGGCAAGGGTTCTGGCCCCTCTGCCTTCAGTTTTTTTCATAGGTGACCAACTTCCTGATTTGCCTGAGACAGTTTTGGTTGATGACTGTTATCCTGGAAAAATTATTACTAGCATCTTCTTTCATTCTCAAAAGTATCCTAGTTTTGGATAATATGATATAATCAATCTACATTTTCTTCCACACTTTTCACATGTGAAATGATTTAAATCCCCTCACCCCTCGTCCAGTGGTTTTCTTAACAACTTATCTGCCTTCTAATAGGGGTTTCCCAGCACATTCTACAATGATATGTTTAGAAATCTAAAAAGTGTAAAACCTACCGGCCCTTCAAAAATTTCCTTGTCGTTAAATATGTAGTTGACTTTGGCGTTGCCAGAGAGCTTCTCAGCCTGCATCCAAAACCGGACCTGGCCTTTCTCCAAAATTTCAACTGCCAACTCTGATTTAACTGGGACAGCTATGAAAAATAAAAATAAGAGTAGTAGTTATATTGGCAACCATTTGTACTGATACAGATTTTTCCAACAAAGGAAAAACAATGGAAGTGATGATGTAGCACCTTGCTTCTTTCAGTGAGAGCATTGTAGGGAAAGTTTGATTTTGAGGGACAGTAGAACTGTGTCCTAATCCTGACTGTCATAGATGTCTTAACTATAAAAGTGAGGAAGATGAACTGACCTCCCAGGGTCCTTCAGCTAACCTCTGTGACTCTCTACTGTGGCTTTGGTTAGCTTTATTTAGGGACAATAACAAAGTATGATGAAAAGAGTCTTGAGCTGGCCCCAGTAGTTCAAGGTCAGCTACTAACAAACTGTGATGTGAGGCAGTTCACTTTGCATCTCTGGGCCTCACTTGACTCATAGTAAATGGATGGAATTGAACTGAATGTCCTAATTGACCAGGATATTTTCCTGCTCCAATATTCTAAGATTTAATTACTTCAAAATATTTTGAAAAAGAGTTCAATTTGATTTTTTTTCAACAGTTTAACTCACTTTGGAGGTTTTTAAAAATGAATCTTAAGGGCTTCCCTGGTGGCGCAGTGGTTGAGAGTCCGCCTGCCGATGCAGGGGACACGGGTTTGTGCCCCGGTCCGGGAAGATCCCACATACCGGGAAGCGGCTGGGCCCGTGAGCCGTGGCCACTGAGCCTGCGCGTCCGGAGCCTGTGCTCCACAACGGGAGAGGCCACAACAGTGAGAGGCCCACGTACCGCAAAAAAAAGAATCTTAAGAAAGAATTAATTTTGACTACATATATAAGATGAACCAGCTTGTCATTTAAACCCTATCCATCCCAATGGTATACCTGTTCATTTAAGTTCTTAGATCAAGCAAAATTTTTCAAATGCAAATAAGCAAGTCATTATCAAGAAGCTATATTAAAATATAGCATGGCTTGCTTCACATAGAAAGTAAGGAACCGTGTGATATCTCTGATTTACACCTGTATCACTTAAGCCATTTGAACATGAGTGAAATTTTTTAAAAGTTGGCTGACATCTCTCAAAGTCTGTTTCTAAATTTCTTGTAACTTGAAAATGTTCTCCACAAAGGCTCCTCCAAGCCAACAGATCTGTATCAGAGGTGGCTCCTAGGCATCCTTTGTGGAACAAGATGGTTGTTTCTCAAAGTTCTGTAGTCCTTCACTTCTGTTAGGGGAAATCACCCTTTGCTTCCTCTCAACTATTCTTAAATATATCTCAAAATTTTAGCTATGCTACATTTTAAATTATAAGCTTTAATTATAAGCTTGGTATAAAGTTGTATGAAATGTACATTAATGTTTTTTGTATTTATCCTAAAACTACCCTTTTCAAACTTCAAGGAATGCCTTTCCTTTGCACTATTCCATATTCATTGTGAAACTCAGTTATAGAGTCATTCCATGCAGAGCTGAAAGGAGGCTCAGACATCACCTACTGAGGGTGTCCCCTGTGAACAGAGAAGGGCCACACCTTGATCAAGGACAGTTATCTACCCCTAAAACCTTGTGCTCCTCACCTGCTAACATGGATATTATCTGCCTCACAAGGCCACCAAGAGTGAATATGGTACCAGAATACACTGAGCCACTGTGAATAATGACCGCTGCTCGAGAAAGGAGTTCTCTTTCTCCCCTGATTTTACTGATGACAAAACTCAGCCTCAGGAAAGCTTAGTAACATATCTGGGTAGCAGAGCTGAGACCAGGGTTGTTCCCTCTATTCTGTGCTCTTATGGTCCTGGCCATCCACTCTGAAGAACACTAGTGGTTTTCCAGTAAGAGCAGATCAGCAACAGACCCCAGGGCAGTGACAGCAGAGGCTAAGTTTTCTCCCTACAGGATGCTCCTGCTTGCTACAAGTTAAGTCTTGAGGGGAATAGAGAGTAGGATCTCTTCCAGAAACATCTGGAGATCTCACTCTAGGGAATCTAATACATGAGTGATGCAGTTACTAAGAAGCTCAGTGTGGCGGCAGTGGGGAGGGGACACACTCCCACGCTCTCCTGGAAGCCTCCAGATCCCTTAATGTTCACGGTCCTCTCTGAGTAATGGGGCCATTGTCTGGGGAGCACTGGCCACCAGGATGCACACACAGAAACAGCCCATGTCCTGTCAGACCACCTGGGCTTATGCCCAGGTACCAGCTGTGTACATCTGGTCTAATTACTTAACCTCTCTGTGCCTCACTTTCTTCATCTCTCAAATTAAATCACCATAGTAGTGACCCTTTTAAGGTCATTGTGGAGTTTGATGACATTCTGTTTAAGCACCCTATAAACAGTATATAAAAAATTAATATTTTGCTGTGACTCTTCCTTCAGTTGTTTAAACAACACCCTACAACCACCAATTGTATGTTATATTTACACCTAAGAGGACATACCAGATAGATATAATTTATGTATACGTGCTTGTGTATGTCTGTACTCATAGAGTATAATATATACAAGTGGGATAATAACCAATGTCTACAAATAAAAAGATATATTATGCAGGATGTTTTTGTTTCTGTTTTTTTTTTAGGTGAGAAGTGTACTTATTTAGAGAGATACACATTCCGTAGACAGAATGTGGTCCATCTCGAAAGGCGAGAGGCCTGCAGGATGTTGTTGATACTGAAGTATATCTCCCACCATCCTCCCCATATACCTTGAATTTTAGATATATATACACACACACACACACACACACACACAGACATATATATTCAAATAAACTGCCACTCTACACTGGCAACACAGACTAGGTTATTTTCTATTTTTAGCTTTAGATATTTTTATTTTTTCCTTCTGCTCAGCCCTAGACCTCCTTAGGCTCTTTTCTCTGGCAGCTAATTTGCTCCAGCAAAATATCTGGTATTTGTAGGTTTAAGGCATATGTTTAGTGGTTTTCAAAATATTTTTGAAAACAGGAGAATTTACTGTGCCAAGGGATAAAGGAACAGCACACTCTTTATTATACTCTGTAAGAGACGAGACCAGTTAAGACCCTACAAAATCTCAAGAAAATGGCTTATGTGTCAACATATGCTAAAAGGAAGTGGGTATAAATTGAGAAATTGGATATGCTGCTTTGACCCTATCATCAGATCTCTGAAAATATTCATGCAGTGACCTGGCTGATCCAACAGTGGTTGGGGAGAGAAAAGCACTGGAGCTGTGATACTTTGAACATTGCTTCAACGGGTTCACGGGAGCTACCTCCGGTTGGGAGAGTCATACCCGCACATCAGAGTTTTGAACACATTTTTGGGTTCTCTCTGTGCTGACGCAAATGCCACACCTGATCTCTAATAGCAGGGCACCTGAGTTTGCTGCTACCCCTTCTCCTAGAACCAACAACTAAAGTGATTATGCTCATGCAGAACGAAATATCTCAGCATAAATGACAGTGACAGTGGTCAATTACTACTGGCAAGTCCATACAATCATTGAACTTCAGGGAGGCTGGGCACCTCCAATTCAACAGTAACACCCCAACTTCTCTCATCTCCATCTTTTAAGCTAGATGTAAATGTGTTTGGACCAGCTGTTGCCTAGACACTTTGTCAATGTTTACTGTCTGACTAGATTAGATTAGTAGGTGCTGCTGTTTCTGTTTCACGTTGTAGACAGTGCGAGCATTCACAGGCTCCAGCTGTGCTCGGCACGGTGACCCTCTCCTCCACTCCCCTCTTCATGGCCCCGGGAACATGAAGGGAGGACATCAGTGTGACTGGCAGACAGCTCTTCTGCAAGTGGGTTTTTCTAGGTCACTCTTCTGTTTCAATTAACATTTATATTTTCCCTGAAGAGTTCAGGATTAACCAACGCCCTGTTGATTGTCTCTCACAGCCCCTCTATGACGTGGGTGCTGTGAACAATTACAACAGCCGTTCCTGGAAAAGAAACCAGGCAATGGGGAAATTGGGATGAGGTGCTCAGGTTCACAGAGTACAGAAGAAGGACAGTCCAGGCCAAACCTCTGCCTTCCATACAATTTTAAAAAGAATAACTTTTAAGATACTATTCTTGGTGTAACTTTTCCAGTTTGATGGTGAATAAGCTTACAGACGAGAAACAGTTCTCCCCTAGAATTCAGAAAGCCTGCTTTCTGCATTCACACTCCACAGGCACCCCACTGTGCTTTGTTGGATAAAGTTGGTTTTGAGAACATTCCAGCTGAGGCCAATAGTCACCAACACCCAGCCTCACCATCAAACATGCATTCCTTGGGAATGTGAGAGAGGTCAGACAACTAGTTTTAAGCATTGTTTATTTTTTAATCACAGCTCTGCTGAGAATTTCAGGAAAGCTGTAGACCTTCGCCCTAGAAAAATGCAAACACACAACGTTTTGCCTATAGTTTGGGGTCAGGGTATAGTTCCCTGGGTTCCTGGAACTCCTGTATTAGTGAAGAAGTTATATTTTAGGGATTAAGGAATGAAAAAAAGTCCTGATTTAAAAGAACGAGTGATGCTATCACTCTTTGTTTTTTCAAGCTCTAAGGTGTAACTTTCTGGATGCTTCACTGCTTTGGCCAGTGGGTACCAATGGGCAAGAGATCCTATCAGGCCAGTGGAACTTTCTGAGTATCGTTTCAGACTTCTTTCTCTTCTCTTAGGTGTCAACTCTGGAATTTAATCTTTTATGTAGAAGGTGCTTCACTGAAGGGTTTTTAGATAGTTCATAGGGATTCTTTTTCTGATCAAGGCATCTTTACCTTATTTTCCAGGAGTTTAAAATGTTAGGTACTGTCTTTATTTAGAGGTATGGTTCTTCTATTAAATGTTAACATTAAATTGCTTAGGAAGAGATTAGTTTGCCTAAAAGACATACAAATTAATGTATCCAGGAGATGTGTGTGTGTGTGTGTGTGTGTATAAAGTTCCAAAATATGTAGGCAAAAGGTGAAGAATGTAATTGGTCAGCTGTTACACCTGTGTAACCCGATAGTGCTCTATGTAACAGAGCATGGGATGTATCTTCTATGTTAGTGTTCTTTGTATCTCTGGAGAACAATGACAAAGACAAAGGCAGCCCTTCGGAAAGTGCATCTGCAGCTATGCTCCATTATATGTTCTCAAGAGCCTCTTCTCTTGATCCTGTCAGAAGTGTGTAGTGGGATGGCTAAACTCTGTGAATGTACTGTGGACACTTACTTGGGAACTTGTGTTCTTGGCTGAGAGCAAGTAAACGTTTCAATTCTGTAGGGAGAAAAAGAGAACAATTAGAGCTTGAACTACTAAAACAAAAGTCACTTGATCCTTGAGAATCACTGAGAAATCAAAGCAGACTCGTGAATGAACTGATTTTTCACTTACCTTCCTCATCTATCAAGTAGCTTGACGCTATTCCATCAGTGTCTGTTACATCGCAGGAGTAGATGCCCAAGTCTTCCATCCCGAGGTCTTTGAAGGTCATTTTCGTCCTTCAGAACAAAATAATTTTATAAGAAGAGAGGCCGTGTGGGGTCTGAGGGCCTGCACCCTGCCGGTCTCTAGGCATTTGCACGTCCGCTCCCTTCACGTGGAGCACTTGTTCTGTCCCCCTTGCTGACCTAAAGCCCACTCATTCTTGCTGCTTCTGGGAAGACTTTCCTGACCTCCTCCTTTGGGGTGATGGTGACGGGAGGGGGAGCTGGTACAAATCTCCCATCCCCAAGCTATGATGCGTGTCGATGCACATCCCAAATAAAGATATTTTTAGCTGATCAACCCTTGCTGGGCAGCCTGAAATTTTTCTTCTTCACAGGGCAGAACCTCCTGATGCCTCTCTTATGTCAACCCTGCACTTCCTGTTTTGGAGGTTATCACATGGCATCAGTATTGCCTAGTTCATTAACTATATACCTCCACTGAATGCCTTTTGGGACGAGATCTGTTTTGTTCACTGTTGTGTCCTCCGGCCTCCATACCTTGTCTAGCACATAATATGTGCCTAATAAATACTTGTGGAATGAATGAATGAATGGGTCAGTGGTCTAGTTCTCTTTGTTTTCTAACTTTGGTGAGTCACATTGCTGGTCAGGGACTAAGATCACCCAAACATTTATAGGTTAATCAAGGAAAAAAAAATTATGGTTTGATTGTCTTTCCTTTGACCAAAATTACGTTTCACTTCAAGGACCTTACAGCATAGTTACAGCAGAACGTCTTTTAATTATTAAATATATTCAGTATTTCCTTGCTGTTTTCCAACAAAATTACTATTTCTTTCTTTTATTTTTGAGCTATATTGGGCTTTTGTAATAGAAATAATACTTAGGAATATTTTGCTTTACTAAATATAATCCAATCTGGTTGGAACTATAAAGATATGAAGCTTGATAAGTAAGGTGAAATAAAAAGAAATCTTGAGGCTGAAAGGAAGTAACAGATCATAAAATTAATCTCCTTCACTCTGCTATTTTACAGAAAAAGAAATCCAAGGTCCATGTAATTAAAAGCTGCCCCAGGTCACACAGCCGGCTCCGGGTAGAGCTGGGACTAGAGCTCATCTCTCCTGTGCTTCCCATACAGAGTTCTTTCCAGTACAGTATTGTGTCACTCACAAGTGGTGGTGAAAAAGCAGAACAGATTATACCCAATCCATTGAATTTACCATAACTTGAATCAGCAAGTTCTTCCTTAACCCCTCCCCATAAGCATCCTCACCATTACTTAAGATTTCAAAATTCTGTAGAATAATGAGAATCATCTTTGAAGTTCACTTTTATGCCAATTAAAGCTTTTCTTACATCATAAACGATGCCAACTAAAAACTGCTAGCTCGCCATCTGCTTCTACAAGGATGAAGTCATTAGCCACTGCAGCCACTGACCTTCAACACACCCTGAAAGGAGTTCAGGGTGGAGATCAGGAATGAGGCGCTCTGTGCTCTGGAAAAACTGGCAGAACAGGCCTTCAGATAGCTAGGTATTTTTCAGGAGAAGATTTTATGAGCCCAATTTCTTGTATCTTCTCATATCTAGAAAAGCACTAAAATCATTGATGGAGACATCGGCTCCTTGTGACTAGCAGCAAGCTTCTGCCAAAATGTGTGCTTTGATTGCACGTTTCCCCCTTCACCAAAATCACTTCTATACTGACTTTCCTCCTTACCTTTTCGGAGCAGTTCCTCAGAGCTGTCTGAGATGCTGTCTCCTGGGCTGTTGTCCTCATTTTGCCCCAAATAAAACTTAGGTCATAACTCTCACATTGCGCTTTTTTTTTTCAGTTGACAGTGAGATACATATGAAAAAATATTTTAAATGGACTAATGTGAAAAATATTTTATAAGGATTGTTATTTTTTAAGGTTTATACTGGTTATGACTTTTTACATTTCCAGTTATAAAATATTTGTGATTTCATTCTCTTATTTGAAATGGAAAGCGTACTTCATCCTCCTTTCATGAAAAGGAGACCCATAGTTAGGATTGAAACGGTGCGTACTTGTTGCCTTTGCTTTCAACCTCTAATCTTGGAGACTCCTCTGTGGGGACATAATCTTTGGACCAGGTGAACTCAGAATTTGGAGCCATCTGATCACATTCGAAGTTCAAGGAAATGACTCCATCATCATCCACATTTACAACAACTTCTTTGGTTCCTAGAAGATCAAAAACAAGGCACTGATAGTTCCTGGTAGAAGTCAATCACGTAAGAATTCCTGACCTTGGGATCCCTTACTGTAGCCTTAAAGCAGGGCCTTGAGCCTGTGCAAGCAAAAAGCCCCAACTGCTCGCTGCAACTGACAATCCTGCTACAATTCAACTTTTGTGTTGTGACAGAATTAAATGAATGTACCATGTTTCTTAGGTAGTGCTAACACCATGGACAGTACTGTTTGTTCAGGGCTGAAGAAAATTGGTTGACGTGACCCTTGGGACAGTTACTGGAGTATGTTGACCATAGTAAGAAGGACAAGGCAGCCTTGGGAGAAAGGAAAGTTGAATGGTCCTTATCAGGGCCTAATTCATGACTTTTGCTTCAATATTACCCATATCTAACTAGTCATCAAGAAAGGATAGATAAGAGATAAAGAAACCAAAGGGAAATTGAAGGGGAGAAAGTAAAGGTAGTAAGAACTGCCTATATTCACATGTTCAAAGTTTGTAAATCATTTAAGAATGAAAAAAAACTCCATGGAAACAAATTCTGCTGATCAGGTAATCATAAATTAATCTAAAGATGCCATTCTAGATTAGAACAATAGAAACCTAGAAATGACTGTTATTGAACTTTATGGAAATGAATTTCAAGAGATTCAAATGTTTCAAGATTAGTTTTTGGATTTTAAAAGAAAACAATAAGTTAATGTTTTGAGGGATTTTTTTTGAGGGTTATAATAAATTACATCTGCATTCAATATAGCAATTCAGAGTGTGTATAGCATATAAAATGTTCACATCTCTGCCTAAATCCAATTTAAAAGGTAAAATGCTCTTCTCAAATTGCTATTCATTCAATTACCAGTCTACACTTAGTTTGTTTCCATACATTAGGAAAAATATATTTAATTTCAGAAAGGTATAGTTTTATTTTTTTTAAAGTATAAAAAAAAATCTTTCAGTAGATACTTCCCAAGTGATGAAAGATTTTCTCTTCTAGATTGCATCATTCAATAAAACTTGTCAGGGGAAAAACAATTGCAAGACTCCTCCCAGGCGAAGGGCAAAACAAAACGAGTGCCTAAAGAGTGATTGGTGACATTAGGATGTTGGTTCCTAAGCCCGGCAGTTGGTCTAATTTGTGTCCTTATTGATAGTAGTGTGTGCTTCAACTATAAACCTCCAAAAAGTGATTTTTAACACATAGAAAACTTAGAGAAGACTAATTCTAGGAGATTTTTAAAAATTACTTTTTAAAAAATAAAGGGTTATTTTCACATTTGGCTATATAGATAAACAGAAATAAAGATCAATTAAAGATTTAATTTTTCCTAAGTGAAATGTCCCCCATGTATTACTTTTAAGGGTTGTGTCTACTCCATTGGAAGTCACAGACCATGTTTTATTTCTATTCCCAGTAACACATGACTAATCCTTACATTAGGATTAATGTATAACATTGCTGTATAACAAATAACGAACAAGTTACTTAAGAAAAGACTGACACCTAAGAATGCTGAGGTTTAGATGGTATTATAATACACAGCATAACTGAATCACAGAGAGTATAAATGGAAAATTTTCTGAATATCTGTATTGTTATAAAGAGGAAAGGAGAAGTAATGAAGTTGACTAAACCTTTCTTGCTATTTACATAATATCTATTTTGGAGGCATGACAGATTGTTCATATTAATCATTCATTGGTTTATTTGTAATCTCTTTAAAAAGGAAGTGAATCATCCATATGCCTGCTGTTTATTATGTTGGAGGCATGACTTAAGTTTACAGCAGAAAAAAATATTGCTTAGCTTAAGAGTCTTGATTTTTATTAAAGTGAAAGATTTGACGTTTCTACAAAGGAGTCATAAAACGGAAAGCATATGAACAATATAATTAGCTTGGCTTTTCTCTCAATTACATGGATAACCTTCGTACCGTAACACTTCACTCATTTGGAATCTTGCCCAAGACCAAGAAGTAATGAAAACAAGTCTCTAAGAGCCAGTGCTGATGTGACAAAGTCCATGCACTAGTATTCTTGAACACACACTGGTGAATTCCATAGACCGTCACTTGGAATCTCTACTTAGCTTGAGATGATTCTAACAAGCTTAGTTGGTCAGTTTCTCTCAGTAGATTGAACCCAAAAAAGAGAGGAAAGTAAGAAGCTACTATCATCAGGAAAATGACAGCAGGAGAGGAAGCAGAAAACTAAAAAGCAGGCACAAAGACATTATTTAGTAGAGGGACAAACAGCTCCTCACCCCATAAGACGTCACTATATTGTAACACTGGGCAATAAATAAGGTGGATACTTATGGCTCTGAGTCATTCAGAAAAAGGTAAATGAGATTAAGTATATTGCATCCAAGAAGTATGAAAGGTAGGTACTGAAATGTGTAATCTATTTTACGAGAATTTTCATCAAAGAGTCTTAGAATGAAATTTTAAATAATTGATGCTCTAGCAGTAAATTCTCAGGTAAATGGAACTACTGGGTATTTAAAACAATGCCTTTTTCAGGTTTCTGAATGACCAGATTTGGTCCCAAACCCATGCAACTTAGAGAATAGAAAAACCCTGCTTAGTTGTTGTCTCAATTGCCTCAGCTATTAAGAGAAGGATATAGAGCTGCCTCACTGAATTATTCTGGGCAATTAATTTTTGTAAAGTACTTGGAGATCTTTTGTGACAGTATGAAATGAAACAAAAGATGTTATTTTTAAGTCCCAGGCAATATGTGTGTTTCCACTTTAACCTATGAGTTTTACATCATTACTTTGTAGCTGGGTTCTAATGTAAAAAAATGTAATAATTTATACTTTTAGAAAACAACATGGTATTTTTTGAAAGTCTTAGATCAAAATTTGTGATTTGAAATTAAGTAATTGCCTGGAGGGGCAAAATAAAAAGTAGGGATTAGATGTAAAGTCAACTAGTATCTGAGTGTGCTCATCTGTGCAGCTTTTCTTGATTAATCATATCAAATCAGGACATGGTAGACAATACCTGTAGTGGATAAAAGAGAGGCATGAACATTTCCTCAATTTATGCTCACATAATTGTGGCTATGATGGGTGCTATTTGTTGATTTATTTAAATAAAGGGAAAAAAATTAAAACTCTCCTCCATACTTCTGTTTTAAAAATCAAATACTCATTAAGATGAGTATTTGATTAATTTTCAGGTTTCAAAAAGTTGCACTGGTTGTTTATTTTATCAAGAACAGGGTTACATTCTACAAGGGCAGGGCTTTTGTCTTTCATATTTTCCATACATATTTACACATGCCAGGCACTGGACTGAAAAAACAGATTTAAATGAGAAATGTCAGTTTAGAATTGCAATGTTTATTTTATTGGAACTAGTCTTATTAAAGCTTAAGCATAACACCAATATTTTGATAAACAGACAAGATAAAAAAAAAAACCAACAAAGAAAACATTCTAGTCGCAGTGGGTTTCCTACTTATGCTCAGAATTTAAAGCTTGATCTCTTTCCTGACAAACAGTGATGCTGTCAACTGGCTGAAAGTGTCACTCTGAAAGTGATCATAATCACAAGACTTTGAAAAGTAAAATTTACTGAAAATAACTGAAATACTAGTTTTCTAGGCATATTTCTTACACTCCACAAAAATTCTCTTTAGAAAATAATGTTTAGTCAAAATAACTTACTATTACAAGGAAAGAACACAGTTTCAACTGTATAAATATAAAACAAGGTTATTGTCTTAAAATGATTATGGCAACAAGTTATAGCTTGTTCCCTACTTGTCACATGAATTACAATGCTAATGCTCTCATACTCTTTCAACATGGCTTTTGAAATTCAAAGCCTTCTGTTACTGTTCAGCTTTAATTAATTGGTTAACATAGTTCTTTGAATAAAAGTGTTTTTAGAGAGTGACTTAGTAGACCAAGTATTTTATAATAATACCTATAATGGGAAATGGAATTGAAGTTGCCTTGGAAAAAAGGTAGACTCTTCCTGCATTCTGGGTTTATATATAGAGGAAGTCATTTTTGGAAAATACATAGATTCATAGATTCCTCTCTGTGTAATAAAGAAGGTAATTATGTTAATCTGGAAAGGACATTTTTTCCACATATTAAAATCTAAGAGGAATTAATAGTGGCGTTCCTTAAATGAAGGGATCCTGGATACATCATGGGCAAAAAATTCTAGTGAGATTTTACAAAAGATACATGACATTGAAATGGATGATTCTTTTTATAAGTGCTCTAGGAACACCAAGAGCAATGTAATGACAGCATTTCTAAGAGGCCCCAGGCTAGTCCACAACTACACCTGTGGAGATTAACCTGGTGCAGCGTCAGAGTGAAAGAGGTGCAGCTACAACACCCTCAAATTTTCTTTTTAGAATGTCCCATGGCCTGAGTTTTTGCCAAGCACTGAGCTGCTGTCAGTCCATGGTTGAACTCATAAATGTCTAAAGAGACACATTCACTAAATTTGACTAAAACATGAGCAGAATGGTTCCGATATTTAACAGGCAGGCAGCAAGTTTGATGTTCTGCTGTCAAAGTAATGGAATCCCTATGGATATTCTCATCTAGATGAAAGGCCATCTCACTTTCCCGCAGAGTTGAGCTGGGAAAGTGGACCAAAGTTTGTCAGGACTTAGATTTTTCTCAAAAACAACCTTTGAATCTTTTCAAGAATATGAAGAATTCAGTTAAGAGCAGAGGAGATTTGGCTATAGAAAATGAAGGAGATAATTCTGGTCTGAAAAGGAATTAAGAAGAGTTGTCTCTAGTCAGCTGCCCCAACCTTAAACAAATCCTTAATGAGGACATAGAGGAATACTGGATTGCGTGGAACGGCATTTTAATAGTCCCTCCAGGCTTGCCACTACCCCCAGTAAGTGAATGGGTTAAAGTACGGCCCAGGGCTAAAATGAACTTTTGGGAAATTAACTCCAGCCCATAATAATAAAACTCCAGCAAATAATGATTTTAAAAAGAGATAAAATTTAAAAGTGGGAATTCATCTTCTCACACATTTCATAATCTTATGTGAGAATTTTCTCATATAATTTAGTCTTTTATATCTGCATTAATAGGACACTTTTATAAGTTTTATTCTTTGTCCTTCTCCATGGTGTGCGCGAGTATGTGTGTGTGTGTGTGTGGTGTTTAAAAAAACTGGAGAGTGGGACAGAACAGAAGCAGACAGAAGTGAACAAATGTAATTGGCTGCATGTAACGCTGAGGTCCCCTATGTGGAAGACAGGACCGCTGGCTGACCCACCAGCGGTCCTGGTGCTACATCAGGGCCTCCACTGGACCTCTGCCAACTCACCCTTCATAACCAGGGCGTTCATTATGAGACACTAGGGTTAGGTTTCCACGCTGTGGCTGCAAAACAGAGTCACACTCTCTCGCCAAAACATGGTAGCCATTCATTATTTTTTTCATCTATAAACCAGGTACTAGGCTATCGACATATAGAGAGAAGACAAAGTTCCTATTTTGAAGGAGCCCACAATCTAATAACCTTGAATTTCATAACTGAATTACCCAAGGAGTTAAACAAACAAACAAAAATGAACCTATGCCCAGGCTCAGTCCTGGAGACTCTGATTTAATTGGTCTGGAGTAGTCTAGAATGGAGTCAGAATTTTCAAAAAGTTCCTGGCATGATTCGAATGCAATGTACTGTCAAGGTTGAAAACTACTTTGCTAATGGGTGAAAGAGAGCAATAGTGAGCAAATGTAAGTGAAGTTTTCTAAATTAGCCAGTTGAGCTAATCTTTAATAGTCAGCCTGGCTTCCTGCTTCAGAAGCCTTCAAAGCTCCACCTCAAGGCCACTGAGCCTTCTCAGCCCTACCAGGTTCTATAACCTATCAATTTTCAGAAACTGGGATTGGTTAGTAGGTTGTCAACTCAATCCCAGCTCATTATTCCTTCTGGAGCTCCATTTTTCTAACCTGCCTTGCTCTTGGTGAGAAGTCCTAACTTCCAATAACTCAGTTCCTGCCCGGGACGCTGCCTGGGTCTGGGTTCTCCTGCCCCTCACCTCAGTTCTCCTGCCTGCCGCTGGGTCTCTGGTAAGAACACCTGCAGCCTGTTCTGCCAGTTATTCGTTGCCCTCCAGATCACCTGCCACACCTTGGCAGGTCTCTCTCTTGCCTCCCGTATGATCTGGTTCACTTTGTCTCCACCTACAGCCCAGACCTGATACAATCAACATAGATACTGTTTGAAAAATATCAAATATCAAGACTAGAAGTGCCTCTCAGGTACCAACAAACCTACTCTAAATATTTTCCAGCTTATTCTTTTTACAGGCTTGTTTAGCTACTAGATTTCTTGGTAAGGCACAGCACACTTAGTCCATTTTGATCCTCATTACCAGCACCATCAGACTTTGCAGTAGCGGCTGAGCTACATCTGCTGGCATTTTCGTCAACTTCAAAGGGAGACCATTCACCCTACCAACCCCAGTGGATTAGGTTAACTTTTAACTGGAATTCAAATTGCACTTGAGGTATCTTGTTAGGTGTATTTGAGGTTTGCTGTTACATGATAAGCTTTATTCTCTATCTGAAATTTTAGTAATGTGTTCCAAAAGGAGTTGTTTTTCTGAAATAGCAATCCAAGTTTCACGTTCCAAACCTTGAAACTGATAACAGATCCCATCCCACCCCCAACCCCGGCCCCAAACATTTTAGCACAAAATAAATACATGGTTAAAAGTAATATATTGGTATTTAATAAAGTTAATAAATACAGACAACCTTAGGCTACATACAAGTTTTTACAGGGATTTTTGAAGCCTTAACACCTGTTTATAGCCTATTCATCTATGGGAAATATTTTGTGAACCTCTAAGCTCTCATCATGCCGTGCTGTAAACTGTTTTTCCACTAGCTCATAAGCCCAGTGGGCGGTGACAATGTCACATTACTCTACTTGTGGTGCCCACACAGCACCTGGCATGAAGCAGGTGTTCAGGAAACACAAAGTGCAGGAATGAATATGTCTGTTGCATATGGAACCAGCCTCAGTGTCCTGGGTTTGGGCTCCTTCATGGCGATGCTTCAAGTCAAGCATCTTGACTCTGTGCCTCCCAGGATTTTTTCCCAGGCTTGAGCCAGTGGTTCCTGAGCGGGTTAGTCTGCTGCAGTTCAGTCTGCAGCTGCTGTTAGTAGTTATATTCTGGGAATGGAATGGCCACAGAATGACTTTGGGCGCCTTGTTCCAAACGAGTGAAACAAAACTCTCCCCCAGGAGCTCACCAGCAGACTCCTTTCTGATGGTAAAGTTTCCACTAACATCCTGACTGGCCACCTGCCATTCCAAGGGTTATTGATGAGAAAACAGGAAATCAATTTAAGCTTTCTTTAGTCAATCAGATTTGGGTTCCACTGCTTAAAGGGTGCTTTTAACCTATCAATGACTAGATAGTTTATTTGTGTAATAATCTAAATGTTCTTACAAGGGCAGCCTCACAGTTGGGCTCTTCTGCATGTCTATTGGCACCCTATATATCTGCACAGTTGGCACCTGAAGGGTCTGATTTCTATAGGAATGTGTGTCCTCATGTCTTCATGTGTCACCTTTTACCTGGCATTTGGGCTCCTAGCATTTTTCTATTTTCTCATGAAGTTTTGCAAAGAGTACTTATATGAGGTATGGCACTCTGTCCAGACACACCTACCACACTTTGGTACAAGAAGGTCACTTCTGTCGTACCCGGTGCTAGAGGGTAGTTACAGGAGCAGATGAAAGCAGTTTATGAAGTAATAGGATGAAAGGGGCAGGTACTTCCTCAAAGGATACATTAGATATTCTTTTCAAGCAGCATGAAGTGAGAGCAGAGTTTTCTATGTTTACATTCTTTTCTCATCCTAAAAACAAATATTACATTATATATCTGCTCTTTATTTCAGTCTGAAAATAGGAATGGATTAAAGTGAGAGTGCTTGGACTAGAATGAATATAAACTTAAAATAACTGGTTAATACTTTTTTTATCCTCTTTCATTTCCAGTGATTTTTTTCATGTAACTTTAATGAACTGAAATTTATAACTTTGAGAAGGAGATTAAATGACAAAATAAGTATTATATAATGATCTGAAACTACTTGCACAGTGAACACTATAAACTTTGTTCACATAACAAAGGGAAAGACTGTCTTTCCTAGTCCAATCATGGCATCTTGAAACTGGGAAGTGAGGCTGCCTCAACTCTACAGATCATTCAATTAGGACCGCTGTTAGTTTAATCCAGGGGTCAGCAAACTATGGCTTGTGGGCTAAATCTGGCCCATTGCCTCTTTTCATACGGCCTGCAAGCTAAGAATGGTTTTTACGTTTTTAAACAGCTTTTAAAAATAAAAAGAAGAGGGCTTCCCTGGTGGCGCAGTGGTTGAGAGTCCGCCTGCCGATGCAGGGGACATGGGTTCGTGCCCCGGTCTGGGAAGATCCCACATGCCGTGGAGCGGCTGGGCCCGTGAGCCATGGCCGCTGAGCCTGTGCGTCCAGAGCCTGTGCTCCGCAGCGGGAGAGGCCACAGCAGTGAGAGGCCCGTGTACCGCAAAAATAAATAAATAAATAAAAAGAAGATTAATATTTCAAGACCTGAAAACTAGTTATAATTCAAATTTCATAATGCATGTAATGTATCATATTACATAATGCATATATCAAGCACAATAAAGTTTTATTGGCACATAGCCATGCTCACTAATTTATGTATTGTCTGTGGTTGCTTTTGTGCCACAGCAGAGCTGGGGATTGTTACAGGGACCATATAACCATAGAGTTGAAAATATTTACTATCTGGCCCTTCACAGAAAAAGTTTTCTGTCCTCTGGTTTAATTTAGTAGCTACAATTATATAAATCCTACTTTTGTTTAAGGATCATGCTTGCTACCTGGGCTGTTCCAGCTTCCTCTGTGATGGGAAAATATTCTTGTGGGAATTAATGGCCATAGTATAATAGGAATAACGTCCCAGGAATGTATGCTTTAAACAGTTGGTCCAGGAAGCATAATTTGATCAAGAACTTCCCTGTTTTTAAGTATGAACCAGAGTAGCCCTGGACCACTACAAACGTGGCTCACCCCTGCCCTAAGGTCCTGTGATGGGGTAAATGATTGTCATGTCCTACGCTCATTCTTATCAATCATTCGGCTAGCATACACTGATGATTTTGAAAATGAGGAAAAGCATAGAAGTAAGGTTGAATGTTACTTTGGTATCTTACACAGATGAGATTAACGAAAAAGTAAAAGCCTACCTGGACGGGTTTCTGCCACAACAGGCCCAGCAAGGTCAGACGGCTTCCCGACACCTGCCTGGTTTACGGCTCGGACTCGGAACACATAGCTGACACCCTCTTTGAGGCCTTGCACCTGGAAGAAGCAGGTATAGAAGTGATGGGTGCTTTGTGTCATTTGAACAGAAGTGCCCTTCCTCTGTGGTGGCAATTCAATTATACAGCACAAAGGGCACAGGACTTGGGTTCTGAACTTCATTCTGTCAAAGACTGTGTGTGGCTTCAGCTAAGACTTTCCTCTCTCTGGACCATGTGTAAGTAGAGATTTCCAAGATCCCTTGAAACTCAGATGCTGTTTCTTTTTTAGATAATTTAATGGCCACCAGCATCAGAAACAGAAGACTAATACAGGTATGCTTTAAAGGAGTCAGCCATCTTATTCTTTGGTCAAAAGACAAATTACAAAGTGCTCAGGAGAGCTTATATGCTGCCCTTTTTTTCCTGATCCTTTTGAGACATTCCATGAATAATTTCAGATAAAATTTCTGACAAGAGAGGGGAATTACAAGCACAGATCACAGATCATGGATCACTTTCCGTTTAAAAGCATGTTAAAGCACTAAAACAAAAACAAACAAAAATTGTCCCTATAAATATAATACAGCTATTTCTCACTAAACAGACAAGCAGGGACTTCCCTGGTGGCACAGTGGTTGGGAATCTGCCTGCCAATGCAGGGGACGCGGGTTTGAGCCCTGGTCCGGGAGGATCCCACATGCCATGGAGCAACTGAGCCCGTGCTCCACAACTACTGAGTCTGCACTCTGGAGCCCACAAGCCACAACTACTGAGCCTGCATGCCACAACTACTGAAGCCCATGCGCCTAGAGCCCATGCTCTGCAACAAGAGAAGCCACCACAATGAGAAGCCTGCGCACTGCAACGAAGAGTAGCCCCCGCTCGCTGCAACTAGAGAAAGCCCACGCGCACCAATGAAGACCCAACGCAACCAAAAATAAATACATAAATAAATAAATTTTTAAAAACGATAAAATCTTAATAAATAAATAAATAAATAGACAAGCAATTAACATGATTGTGAATTTTAGTAATTTGTGAATAGTCAAATATATTCAAATTCCAAATCCTCACATTTTCAATCATCAAGAAGATGTTTTCTGAGGACCTATATTATATGTGTGCCACCAAGCTAGAGTTACAAGAGCATAAGAGAAGTAAAAAACATATATAATATGTTTTTATACAACAGTCCCACTTCATAATTTTTTGTGACTTTCTTTGGGTTCAGCACAGTCTCATTAGTATTACAAATACTGTCAATATTTTACAAAAATTATCTTTTCCTTTTTAGAACATGTGACTTTTAAAAGCTATATGTATTTTAAGAAGGAGTTTATTACACGCAAAGGGCACAATTTTTCCCCATAGTGTTGTGATGGAGATTAACAGCCAAAATGGGATTTAAATCAAACAAAGCTAGAATATACTTATTCAACTAAGCGAAGTGTCTGTGACCATGTATTTAGATGAGCTATGTATTAAATTGTTGCGTTTTTAATCTAATTATTTAATTGTATTGTGTTTATGGTAACAGAATGTCACTACTTATATAGTGATAGCTTTCACTGGAGCTAATGGAGTTTTGAAATGAATTTTAATCCGTAAATGAATTTAGGCACAGGCTAAATGCATAAGAGTTTGATGTATTTAAATTCTATACTTAGAAATAATGCCAGGCAACTGTGGATCTACAGAAAGGAAAAGAAACATTTCCTTGTCGTGATAAAAATAGACCAGTTGCCAGGTACCTGCCACATCTGCACCTGCCACTTAGGTAATATGTGGCTGTGAGTCAGATTTCTGCCAACACGGCACAGGAAGTGAATCCACTTCCTAGTGTCTAGTCACTGAGGGGACAGGCACACCCCTCCACTCTTCCATCACCGCAGGGGCAATGACTGCTGGCTTAAAGCACTAGAGATGCATAATCTATATCCCCCACCCCTTCCAATTATTCAGTCCCTCTCACCACATTGTCTCAGCAGATTGTAATTACCAATCAAGAAGGAAGCATGAGCTCTGTTGGTTAAGCCTTTTGGTGGATAGTAATGCATCTTTCACTCTCTAGGAACCCCTAGACACTCAGTGCTAATGTGAATGGGGGTGCTTCTGGCAGAAACCGGTTAGGCCATTATGTTGCAGTGCCATGGTGCTAAAATCTCCTGTTCCTGGAGCTATATGTCCTTTCCTCACTTAAATTTGACAGATTAAACTTTTTAACATGCACATTTTTCCTCCATTTCAGGGCTGAAACTTTTCTGAATATGAAACATCTGGAAAAGTGACTCCACATCAAAATGGGTATGGGGACTATAGGACATCTCTACTTTTCTTCTTTATGCCTTTACTGCTTGAATTTGTCATCATAAGCATGCATCTGTTTTATAATCAGAAAAATCAGTAATTCTATTTTTGCTTTAAAAATTGTGGCCAAACTCTAAGGTCATTTCCTTACAGAAAGTTCGTCTTCTGGTTTGTGAGGGGCACTCAACCTCAGTCTCTCTCTTTCCCCTAAATTTCCCTTTCTTCTTCTTCTTTTTTAAAAAAATGAGTGACATTAACCATTCTTTGATGTGTTTAAACTCCATTATTTTCTCTTCCTACTCATTTTTCCTGGGCTCTTGGTCCCCTTTGCTTGGCTTCTCACTCTCACTTGGTTTCCCGTGAGTCGGGCTCCTGGGGTCCTGTGCTACGGCAGATGGAGGATTTGGAAGTCATGCTGGCCATAAGCACGCACCACCATCATCTAGGATGTGTCCGACCTTTGTTTTACACTGGCCTTTGGGGATGTCTTTGTATCTAGAGGCCTCCTGACTTCTCTGGACAGCCAAACAGCACCCTAGGCTCCAGACCTTCCTTGACCTTTTCTCTTCCCCACGAAATGTGACCTTCCTTATCTCCTCATGGTATTGTAAGGGGCTGGAGAGCTTACTGGCACATGGGAAGCTGAGTTAATGGCATGTTGGATATAATGGTTTAAGGGTCATCTCTCCTGGAGGGTACATTTACATCTTTTTATAGGGACCCCAGAGAGTGGCTGCCCTAACCCCAGAGAGTGGCTGACAAATGGTATGGACTTTAGTGGCAGGTTGACAAGAGAAATCTCTTAAACCAGGTATACTCTGAAAATCCTCCAAGGCCCACGCCCTGGGTGGTGGCATATTCTGCCAACAGATAAGACTGCACACTGAATGCACTGTGAAGCTTCCTGTTTGACTGTGGCCATACAGTCACACTTCATTGTACGTAACAAGAGCTGGAGTCATATTCCCCACAGTTTCTGAGGCCTTGTGGCATCAGGGTCTCCAGATGCCACTGCTGACAATAGGGGGAAACATTCTTTTCAGATTTCTATTTGGTACTAGTGAGAGAGTCAGTGGCTAGAGCAGAACAGTCTCTGGCAGATAGAGTTAGAAACTGGTTCAGTTGGAACACTCTAGAGGAACCTGGAAGGCAGTGACATGGAGAAGGGTGAGAACAAGGTCAAGAGTTGAGGCAACTCATTCCTCTGGTCCCTGAGAGCTCACGTGAGCACAGGGGTGAGGGGGCAGGGGAGGTAAGGCCGACCACGACTCAAAAGGATCAGCAGTTAAAGGCTTACAGGCATGAACTCTATGAAAATAACACCCTCAAATCAAAAACCACCGGCAAAAAAATTCGAGGTAGGAATGAGAAAGTCACCTTTTGGAGATGGTAACATCTTAAGACTGTGAGTAACAAAAATGTGAGGTGGGTAAGTGGAGGCGAGGAGGGACAGAAGAGGGAGGAGGGATCTTTCCTAAAGCCAGGCAAAGGGATTTGGGTCAAATTACAAGCAAATTGTTTTAAGTATCAGAAACATCCCCAAAACCTCACCGACTGCCAAATGGAATCCTACCAGGATCCCAACACATGACACAGACCAATGATGAGATGCTCTGCTTTATCTCACTGACTTTAAAGTTAACTTCGTTAGAAGAACCGTTTTTCTTTAAAAAAAAAAAAAGATTTTCTCAAACTGTGAGCATCCTCTTACCCTCAGGTATGTGTTTTTCAGAGCCGCCTCATTGAGTCCTCGCCACTGGTCCTCTTTGGCACTGGCCTCCTTCATGTCCACAAAGTAGCCAGTGACCGGAGTCCGTCCTGAGTGGACTGGAGGCTTCCACTGCAGAACCAGGGAGGTTTTTCTGACTTCACTGTACTTGAGACTGTGCGGTGGTCCTGAGAGGGAAAGAGAGGCTGATGCGTAACAGTCATAATGGAGACAAGAAAACTCCAATGTGTGTAAACCTAGAGCCACATTTAAGGTCTTAAAGCTGAAGCTAATGCTGGTGTTCTTCTTTTGTAAAATCTACTACTCCCATGGAAACAGGTATTCCGTGCTCATTTCATATCAAGTTTCCTCAACAGCTCTGTATCAGCCTATTAAGACCCTTTACGGGCAGCAAGTGGTTAAGGCCAGTTCAAGGTGCCCTCCAGCAGCTGGATGAAGCCTTGCCCTCAGGCTGTCCTCAGGCCTGTGTTCCTCACCTTTTATCATAACAGTTTAATTTGGTTGCAGGTTCAGTTTCAGATTATTTTTGGATGACAATCTGAAAATACCCCGCAATCTCAATTATGGCGAAGAAAGCAACTCTCTTTGATGGCTTATGAATATAGAAAAATATATATATTGCAAAATATATATCCCTCCCTCACTGGAGGGATATCTTTCTTGTAAAGCATATATCCCATATAGGGGTAAAAACAAACTACAATTGTGGTTACAAAGAACTTTCACCAAAACAAATACAATCAATCCCATGGGCCCTGAATCTATGCTAAACCCTATCAGGTATTTTACATTCTTTTATCTCACCCATCCCTAAAACAATTAACAGAAAGCTCAGAGACACCAAGGAACTTGATCAACCTGTTCAGGAAGGAAGCCAAATACTTCTGTGTGTGCTCTTTGCACTCTTGGGCGAGTCCCATCTACTCACTGATGGCCTGCATCTTTGCATGACTACCAGCTGCTATGAAGGTGATATAGTTATTTATTTTCTTTCTTTTTTTCTTTAAAGGATATAGTCAGATTTGCACTTTATTTATTTATTGGCTGCGTTGGGTCCTCGTTGCTGTGCGCGGGCTTTCTCTAGTTGGGGCGAGCGGGGGCTGCTCTTTGTTGCGGTGTTCAGGCTTCTCACTGCGGTGTTCAGGCTTCTCATTGCGGTGGCTTCTCTTTGTTATGGAGCACAGGCTCTAGGCACGCGGGCTGCAGTAGTTGTGGCTCGCAGGCTCTAGAGCACAGGCTCAGTAGTTGTGGCACACAGGCTTAGTTGCTCTGCAGCATATGGCACCCTCCCGGACCAGGGCTTGAACCCGTGTCTCCTGCATTGGCAGGTGGATTCTTAACCACTGCACCACTAGGGAAGTCCCTTTATTTTCTTTTCTCTTTCCTCTTTTTTTTTTTTTAAAATAACAACTGGTTTCTAACCAACCAATCAAAAGCACCTGAACTGACTCACAGTGGCCTGAGAGCCAACTACAAGCGCAGACTCCATCATGCTATGCTTTGGCATTTTGCAATTGATCACTGTGTTTTTTGGGCCCTTTTCCTCAGCTTAATGGTCACTGGCAATGAGTCATCCTTGTCTCCTGATGATGCCTTCTGTGGAAATAGGTTTAAATAACACCAGTACCTTACGCTGGTGTGGAGTGCTCTGTTTTGCAAAGGGCTTTTATGACCATTGTCCTGTGTCATCCTCAGAAGCCAGAGAGGCATCCCAACAGGTAGCACCAGCCCTTTCTTCCAGAGAAGGACCACTGTGCTGCTGCTTCCTACCCCCTTGTGTCTTGGAATGAGCAGACCTAGTTTCCAACCCTAACTGCCACTTATTGCCTGTGTGACCTCCTGGGTATCATTTAACCTGAGTCTGTTTCTTCATCCGACAAAATGTCCTAAATGCTCTCACCTATCATAAAGCTTTCTTGACTCATGGCTTGCCCAACACTTCTCAGTGAGTCAAGGGTGAATCTGGGAAAAGAGAGGCCGTGGGGGTGGAGGACTGCCCCGTTCACTTCTCTGAGTTGGGAGCACTCACCCTGCAACCTCTTTTGCTAACTATATCTCTATCAAACCATTTTCCACAGGTCTGCTCAGAATTTCTTGGTCTGTCGTCATTCACATTTTAACTTTATTCAGGAACTGCAAGAATTTAAAAACAGACCCACTTTTGTGTAGGTGGCAGAAAGAACTTAAGAAATATTGCCGGCTTCAAGAAGGCGAAAGGAAAGCCAGTGTGTTTGCCTCTTGTATTAACTGAAGGTGAGTGAACTCTTGAACTTCTCTTGAGTTTCTCTTGTAATCTTTTTATTCACACCTGATAGAGATGTGATGCAGATGGACGCTCACTAAGTGAAGGCAAAAAAGATGGTCCTCCAAATGCACTAAGGTTTCAAATAGAGGACGCGGGTGGCACTGGGGGCATGGCTGGATCCACCCAGTGTGCCCAGTGTGGCCTGGTGTTCTAACATGGTTGGAGCCAGTGCTGTAGCAGTTGTTATAACAAGCTGAATATCCAACCCAAGTGGGAGAATTTAGTCATTCTGTGGCACTAAAGTATTTGGGTGTTTGAAGTTAGTGCCATTGGAAGCACAATAAAACCATCCACTAGGGGGCTTCCCTGGTGGCGCAGTGGTTGAGAGTCCGCCTGCCAATGCTAGGGGACACGGGTTTGTGCCCCGGTCCGGGAAGATCCCACGTGCCGCAGAGCGGCTGGGCCCGTGAGCCATGGCCGCTGAGCCTGTGCGTCCGGAGCCTGTGCTCTGCAACAGCAGAGGCCACAACAGTGAGAGGCCCGCGTACAGCAAAAAAAAAAAAAAAACCATCCACTAGGGACTTCCCTGGCAGTCCAGTGGTTAAGACTCTGCCGTCCAATGCAGGAGGCGCAGGTTCAATCCCTGGTCGGGGAATTAAGGCCCCCCATGCCGTGTGGTGAGATCAAAAATTAAAAAACAAAAAGCAAACAAAAAAAAACCCATCCACTGACTACGTTGCTAGTCTGATTCCTAATGACTTAGTAAATTTGTTAGTATTCAGTCTTTACATTTGTTCACTGTTGTAACTGTGTAAAAGTTAAAAGCATAGGTAACTGTTTCTGGCTTCTCCCCACTTTCATCCCTGCCCCGTCAACCACCCTCTATGACAACCTCCAAAGGAGAGCATTTCCAGTCCGGTTCCAGGATCTTTATTGTGATGCAGAGTTGGGAAAAAGTTGACATAGACAGAAAGGACTCAAGAGCTAAGTGGAGAGATATAAGAGGCAGGAGGCCAGGACTGAAGCCCTAGGCAGGCATGTTAGGTCCCCTGTATGTACAGTGAAGAGCTGGGAGCAAGGGAGGAGGAGACCACAGGGAGGAGGCCACAGAGGCTGGGGCTGAGGAGATGGGGGAGGGAGGCTGATAAATGAAATGCTCCAGAGCAGTGGGAGAATGCACAACTTGGGAATGCCAGAAGACATTTTTAAGAAATTTTGCTGGGGGATGTGAATTGGATGCCCTTTAATGGCCTTGAAGAAGACAAGCAAAGATTAGAATTCCTTTTAAATAATCAAGTGGCATTCAAACTGTGTGCTTCCGTCCATCCTACTCCATGCAGAGGCTGAGCTATGGGGACTCTAGGATTTATTTGGAATATAAGAAATTTATACTCAGTTTTATATTGGTACCTATTGTTTCATAGTACTGTAGAAATATTTAACGTAAACACAAGGGGCTGAGAGAATTTGTCTCCCTTAGAAGCTGTATATATGTACCACTTAAATTTAGTTCCAGGTTGTAGGTTCCATTGGAAGAAACTCTGAGCCTCAGTGCTGAGACATGGTCTTCCCGGTTTACCTGGAACAGCAATGGTCCACTCTTCACATTTGAAGCTTGCGCTTACTGCCGAGGGTGCTCCCAAGCCAGCGATGTTCATGGCTGCCACTTGGAACTGATATACCATGTTCTCCTTCAAGTTGCTAATCTGCAACATGGACGATATCATGGATAGTGAACATTTCAGGTTTGTTTTTCTAGTGGTTCAACATTTTATTTATTTACCTCCTGTGTTGGACATACTCTAGGATGACCCCCCAATGAATCACACCCTTTTGTAATCTCCCCTTGCATTGGGGTGAAACCTGAGACTTGCTTCTAGCCAACAGAACATGGCAAGGGTATTGGAATATGAGTCCTGTGATTGTATTATATCATATGGCAAAGGAGGAGGGATATTTCAGATGTAATTAAGATCCCTAATCAGTTGGTTTTGAGTTAATCAAAAGGGAGATAGATTATCCTGGGTGCACCTATGATGTTGTGATTTATAATAAGACATATATATTTGGTTTTTGTCCCCATTCCTGGCACAGAGCTCCTAAAACACTTGGAATTTCCTAAGTCATGAGAGTTATAAAGTATCTTTTGTTGTGTTAATGAGGTGACTTTTGGAAAGCACCTAAGGATGGGGACTGGTTGCCAAGGGAACCAATCATGTGATTAGAGGGTGGGAACTTTCAGCCTCATCCCAGACCTCTGGAACTCCGGGGAGGGAAGATGGGCTGGAGATTGAGTTCAATCACCAATGGCCAATGATTTAATCAAGCGAGTCCATGTAATGAAGCCTCCATAAAACCCCAAAAGAGCAGGGTTCAGACAGCTTCCAGGTTGGTGAACACATGGAGGTGCTGGGACAGTGGTGGTCTGGAGAGAGGATGGAAGCTCCATGCCTATTCCCCATATCTTGACCTATCAATCTCTTCTATCTGGCTGTTTCTGATTTATACCTTTTATAATAAACTGATAATCTGGTAAGTAAAATGTTTCTCTGAGTTCTGTGAGCCACGCTAGTGAATTAATCAAACTCAAGGAGGAGGTTGTGGGAAATTGATTTATAGTCTGTTGGTCAGAAGCACAGGTGACATCCTGGACTTTCAACTGGCATCTGAAGTGGGGGCAGGGTTATTCTTGAGGGACTGAACCCTTTACATGTGGGACCTGAGTCTATCTTCAGGGAGACGGTGTCAGAATTGAGTTAAATTGTAGGACACCCAGCTGGTGTCTGAGAAGTGTTGTGAGTGTGAAGTAGTGTAAGAGCAAAGGAGAAACACACAGGAGGGAAAGTGAGTTTTTCCAAAGGACCGACTTAATCAGATAGAAACTCTTAAAATGGGGTTTGGGCCCTGCCTAAAGAGAAACACTGTCCTGATGGCCTTGAAGAAGCAAATACTGTTTTTCAAACTGCTTAGCCACTCACATTTGGAGAAGGACAGCCTCTAGGAGCTGAGGGTCTCAGACGTACAGCTGCAAGGAACTGAATTTTGCCAACAACAGTGAGCTTAGAAGAGGAACTTGAGTTCCAGATGAGAATGCAGTCCAGCTGAAACCTACGTTGCAGCCTTGTGAGACCCTGAGCAGAAGACCCAGCTAAGCCATGCCTAGACTCCTGACTCAAGGAAACTGTGATACCGCAAACAGGGACAGTTTGTGGTAGTTTGTTACACAGCAACAGAAAACAAATGCATGTACAGATGAAAATTAAATGAATTCTAATCTTGGAATCAAAATACTCAAATTCTTGTAATATTTCTGCTCTTTACTGAGTGATCTCATATTTTCTATATCCCTCAGTATGAACTGGGTTGTTGTGGGGGTATATATATGTAGTAAAATAATAAATGTGAAAACATTTGCAAAATAGAAATGATGGAATGTATTAATGTGAAAAAAATCCATGAACTAGGCTTTAAAAGAGGAGACAATGAGTAGAAGGACATGCTCTCACTACCTCTTGCAAGAACACCGTATGACAACTAACTGCTGAACAATCATCGACAGGAAGACACTGGAACTCACCGAAAAGATACCCCACATCCAAAGACAAAGGAGAAGCCACAGTGAGACAGTAGGAGGGGCGCAATCACAATAAAATCAAATCCCATAACTGCTGGGTGGGTGACTCACAAACTGGAGAACACTTATACCACAGAAGTCCACCCACTGGAGTGAAGGTTCTGAGCCCCACGTCAGGCTTCCCAATCTGGGGGTCTGGCAACGGGAGGAGGAATTCCTAGAGAATCAGACTTTGAAGGCACGCGGGATTTGATTGCAGGACATCAACAGGACTTGCGGAAACAGAGACTCCACTCTTGGAGGGCAAACACAAAGTAGTGTGCTCATCGGGACCCAGGGGAAGGAGCAGTGACCCCTTAGGAGACTGAACCAGACCTACCTGCTAGTGTTGGAGGGTCTCCTGCATAGGCGGAGTGTGGCTATGTGTCACCATGAGGACAAGGACGCTGGCAGCAGAAGTTCTGGGATGTACTCCTTGGTGTAAGCCCTCCCAGAGTCCGCCATCAGCCCCAGCAAAGAGCCTGGGTAGGCTCCAGTGTTGGGTAGCCTCAGGCCAAACAACCAACAGGGAGGGAACCCAGCCACACCCATCAGCAGACAAGTAGACCAAAGCAACAGCCAGCTCTACCCACCACCAGTCCTGGCCATCAGGAAACTTGCACAAGCCTCTTAGATAGCCTCATCCACAAGAGGGCAGACAGCAGAAGCAAGAAGAACTACAATCCTGCAGCCTGTGGAACAAAAACCACATTCACAGAAAGATAAACAAGATGAAAAAGGCAGAGGTCTATGTACCAGATGAAGGAACAAGATAAAACCGCAGAAAAACAACTAAATGAAATGGAGATAGGCAACCTTCCAGAAAAAGAATTCAGAATAATGATAGTGAAGATGATCCAGGACCTTGTAAAAAGAATGGAGGCAAAGTTCAAGACGATGCAAGCAATGTTTAAGACCTAGAAGAATTAAAGAACAAACAAACAGAGATGAACAACACAATAACTGAAATGAAAACTACACTAGAAGGAACCAATAGCAGAATAACTGAGGCAGAAGAACGGATAAGTGACCTGGAAGACACAATGGTGGAATTCACTGCTGCGAAACAGAATAAAGAAAAAAGAATGAAAAGAAATGATGACAGCCTAAGAGACCTCTGGGACAACATTAAACACAACAACATTTGCATTATAGGGGTCCCAGAAGGAGAAGAGAGAGAGAAAGGACCCGAGAAAATATTTGAAGAGATTATAGTCAAAAACTTCCCTAACACGGGAAAGGAAATAGTCAACCAAGTCCAGGAAGTGCAGACAGTCCCATAGAGGATAAACCCAAGGAGAAACACGCCAAGACACATAGTAATCAAACTGGCAAAAATTAAAGACAAAGAAAAATTATTGAAAGCAGCAAGGGAAAAACAACAAATAACATACAAGGGAACTCCCATAAGGTTAACAGCTGATTTCTCAGCAGAAACTCTACAAGTCAGAAAGGAGTAACATGATATAATTAAAGTGATGAAAGGGACGAACCTACAACCAAGATTACTCTACCTGGCAAGGATCTCATTCAGATTCGATGGAGAAATAAAAAGCTTTACAGACAAGCAAAAGCTAAGAGAATTCAGCACCACCAAACCAGCTCTACAACAAATGCTAAAGGAACTTCTCTAAGTGGGAAACACAAGAGAAGAACAGGAACTGCAAAAACAAACCCAAAACAATTAATAAAATGGTAATAGGAACATACATATCGATAATTACCTTAAACGTGAATGGATTAAATGCTCCAACCAAAAGACACAGGCTTGCTGAATGGAAACAAAAACAAGACCCATACATATGCTGTCTACAAGAGACCCACTTCAGACCTAGGGACACATTCAGACTGAAAGTGAGGGGATGGAAAATGATATTCCATGAAAATGGAAATCAAAAGAAAGCTGGAGTAGCAATGCTCATATCAGATAAAATGGACTTTAAAATAAAGAATGTTACAAGAGACAAGGAAGGACACTACATAATGATCAAGGGATCAATTCAAGAAGAAGATATAACAATTATAAATATATATGCACCCAACTTAGGAGCACCTCAATACATAAGGCAACTGCTAACAGCTACAAAAGAGGAAATTGGGCTTCCCTGGTGGTGCAGTGGTTAAGAATTTGCCTGCCAATGCAGGGGACATGGGTTCGTGCCCCAGTCCAGAAAGATCCCACATGTCGCGGAGCGGCTGGGCCCATGAGCTGTGGCCTCTGAGCCTGCGCATCCGGAGCCTGTGCTCTGCAACGGGAGAGGCCACATCAGTGAGAGGCCTGCGTACCGCAAAAGAAAAAAAGAGGAAATTGACACTAACACAATAATAGTGGGGGACTTTAACACCTCACTTACACCAATGGACAGATCATCCAAAATGAAAATTAATAAGGAAACACGAGCTTTAAATGACACAATAGACCAGATAGATTTAATTGATATTTATAGGACATTCCATCCAAAAACAGCAGATTATACTTTCTTCTCAAGTGTGCACAGAACATTCTCCAGGATGGATCACATTTGGGTCACAAATCAAGCCTCAGTAAATTTAAGAAAATTGAAATCATATCAAGCATCTTTTTTAACCACAGCGCTATGAGATTAGAATTCAATTACAGGGAAAAAAAACATAAAAAACACGGACACATGGAGGCTAAACAGTATGTTACTAAATAACCAAGAGATCACTGAAGAAATCAAAGAGGAAATTAAAAAATACCTAGAGACAAATGATAATGAAAACACGACGATCCAAAACCTATGGGATGCAGCAAAAGCAGTTCTAAGAGGGAAGTTTATAGCTATACAAGCCTACCTCAAGAAACAAGAAAAATCTCAAATAAACAATCTAACCTTACACCTAAAGGAACTAGAGAAAGAAGAACAAACAAAACCCAAAGTTAGCAGAAGGAAAGAAATCATAAAGATCACAGCAGAAATAAATGAAATAGAAACAAAGAAAACAACAGCAAAGAGCAATAAAACTAAAAGCTGGTTCTTTGAGAAGATAAACAAAATTGATAAACGACTAGCCAGACGCATCAAGAAAAGAGGGAGAGGACTCAAACCAATAAAATTAGAAATGAAAAAGGAGAAGTTACAACAGACACCACAGAAATACAAAGCATCCTAAGAGACTACTACAAGCAACACTATGCCAATAAAATAGACAACCTGGAAGAAACGGACAAATTCTTAGAAAGGTATAACATTCCAAGACTGAACCAGGAAGAAATAGAAAATATGAACAGACTGATCACAAGTAATGAAATTGAAACTGTGATTAAAAATCTTCCAACAAACAAAAGTCCAGGACCAGATGGCTTCACAGGTGAATTCTATTAAACATTTAGAGAAGAGCTAACACAAATCCTTCTCAAACTCTTCCAAAAAATTGCAGAGGAGGGAACACTCCCAAACTCATTCTATGAGGCCACCATCACCCTGATACCAAAACCAGACAAAGATACTACAAAAAAAGAAAATTACAGAAAATTCACTGATGAATAGAGATGTAAGAACCCTCAACAAAATACTAGCAAACAGAATCCAACAACACATTAAAAGGATCATACACCATGATCAAGTGGGATTTATCCCAGGGATGCAAGGATTCTTCAACATACGCAAATCAATGTGATACACCATATTAACAAACTTAAGAACAAAAACCATATGATCATCTCAATACATGCAGAAAAACGTTTTGACAAAATTCAACATCCATTTATGATAAAAACTTCCAGAAAGTGGGCATAGGGGGAACCTACCTCAACATAATAAAGGCCATAGATGACAAACCCACAGCAAACATCATTCTCAGTGGTGCAAAACTGAAAACATTTCCTCTAAGATCAGGAACAAGACAAGGATGTCCACTCGCGCCACTATTATTCAACACAGTTTTGGAAGTCCTAGCCATGGCAATCAGAGAAGAAAAAGAAATAAAAGGAATACAAATTGGAAAAGAAATAAAACTGTCACTGTTTGCAGATGACATGACACTATACATAGAGAATCCTAAAGATGCCATCAGAAAACTACTAGAGCTAATCAATGAATTTGGTCAAGTTGCAGGATACAAAATTAATGCACAGGAATCTCTTGCATTCCTATACCCTAATGATGAAAAATCTGAAAGAGAAATTAAGGATACACTCCCATTTACCACTGCAACAAAAAGAATAAAATCCCTAGGAATAAACCTACCTAGGGAGACAAAAGACCTGTATGCAGAAAACTATAAGACACTGTTGAAAGAAATTAAAGATGATACCAACAGATGGAGAGATACACCATGTTCTTGGATTGGAAGAATCAATATTGTGAAAATGACTATACTACCCAAAGCAATCTACAGATTCAATGCAATCCCTATCAAATTACCAATGGCATTTTTTACAGAACTAGAACAAAAAAATCTTAAAATTTGTATGGAAACACAAAAGACCCCTAATAGCTAAAGCAGTCTTGAGGGAAAAAAACAGAGCTGGAGGAATCAGGCTCCCTGACTTCAGACTATACTACAAAGCTACAGTAATCAAGACAATATGGTACTGGCACAAAAACAGAAACATAGATCAATGGAACAAGATAGAAAGCTCAGAGATAAACCCACGCACCTATGGTCAACTAATCTGTGACAAGGGAGGCAAGGATATACAATGGAGAAAAGACAGTCTCTTCAATAAGTGGTGCTGGGAAAACTGGACAGCTACATGTAAAAGAATGAAATTAGAACACTCCCTAACACCATATAAAAAATAAACTCAAAATGGATTAAAGACCTAAATGTAAGACTGGACACCATCAAACTCTTAGAGGAAAACATAGGAAGAACACTCTTTGACATAAATCACAGTAAGATCTTTTTTGATCCACCTCCTATAGTAATGGAAATAAAAACAAAAATAAACAAATGGGACCTAATGAAACTTAAAAGCTTTTGCAAAGCAAAGGAAACTACAAACAAGACAAAAAGACAACCCTCAGAATGGGAGAAAATATTTGCAAATGAATCAACGGACAAAGGGTTAATCTCCAAAATCTATAAACAGCTCATGCAGCTCAATATGAAAGAAACAAACAGCCCAATCCAAAAATGGGCAGAAGTCCTAAACAGACATTTCTCCAAAGAAGACATACAGATGGCCAAGAAGCACATGAAAAGGGGCTCAACATCACTAATTATTAGAGAAATGCAAATCAAAACCACCATGAGGTATCATCTCACACCAGTTAGAATGGGCATCATCAGAAAATCTACAAACAACAAATGCTGGAGAGGGTTTGGAGAAAAGGGAACCCTCTTGCACTGTTGGTGGGAATGTAAATTGATACAGCCCCTATGGAGAACAGGATGGAGGTTCCTTAAAAAACTAAAAATAGAATTACCATATGACCCAGCAATCCCACTACTGGGCATATACCCAGAGAAAACCATAATTCAAAAAGAGACATGTACCACAATGTTCATTGCAGCACTATTTACAATAGTCAGGTCATGGAAGCAACTTAAATGCCCATCGACAGACGAATGGATAAGGAAGATGTGGTACATATACACAATGGACTATTGCTCAGCCATAAAAAGGAATGAAATTGGGTCATTTGTAGAGACGTGGCTGGATCTAGAGACTGTCATACAGAGTGAAGTAAGTCAGAAAGAGAAAAACAAATATCGCATATTAACGCATATATGCGGAACCTAGAAAAATGGTACAGATGAAGCGGTTTGCAGGGCAGAAATTGAGACACAGATGTAGAGAACAAACGTATGGACACCAAGGGAGGAAGCAGTGGAGGTGGGGGTGGGGGTGGGGGTGGGAAGAACTGGGAGACTGGGATTGACATGTATACACTAATATGTATAAAATGGTTAACTAATAAGAACCTGCTGTATGAAAAAATAAATAAAAGAAAATTCAAAAAAAAATCCATGAACGATAAATAATCCTTTGAGCATTAAAAATGCTTAATAAGTGGAGGTACTGATGGAACCAGCTGAGTTAACAAAGTTTACCTACTGTATGATTTAAGGCAAGACAAATCTGTATCCATGATCCAGTCTACACCTGATTTTATCATGAAGCTGGGTCTCCATAAAAGGGAAAAAAATTTTTGACCCTTATTTCACATCATACACAACATTTATAGGTGAATTAATAACTTAAATGTAAGTGGCAAACTGTAAAGCCTTTAGAATATAATCTATATAGCATGGTCCCAGCTGGGGCCATGGCTTTCAGGATTCCTGAACTAGAAGGCATTTCTTAAAAAAAAAAAAAGGCACAGAAGTCGCTAATGACAAAGCAAATGTTGGTAAATCTGACTACAATAAATTTGACAAGAAAATAGGTGTAGTTCACCATAAGGATAGGAAAAGTCTAGCCAATGAGACGATATAGGCAACTTACATAGCCAACAAGGATTTATGCTCAAAATATTTAAAGAACTTCACAAGGCAATAAGAAAACCCATTAGAAAAATGGGCAAAAACCTTGTTAGGCATGCTATGAAAGATTTCAAAATGGACCATAAACACAGGAAAAGATGTTCAGACTCATTTGACACCCAGATTGTCGAAGCAGGAAAAGTGTGAACACACCAAGTGCTGGAAGGATGTGCAGCATTGGGAATTCTCATACTCTTCAGAAAAACAGCAGAGAATTATGTGGTGAAGTTGGAAATAAACAAGACTCTCTGGCCTAGCAATTTTACTTGTGGGTAATAACCTAGAGAAACTAGTGCACATATGTGCCAGCAGGCATGTACAAAAATGTTCATAGCTAAATTGTTTGATATGGCTTACAATGCCCCATGTCAATCAATAACTGAATGGGAAGGTCTACTGTGAGATGGTCATATAATGGAATACACAGCAATAAAGTCAGAGCTACTTGTACCAACATGGAAGAATCTTAAAAATAAAATTTTGGGGCTTCCCTGGTGGCGCAGTGGTTGAGAGTCCGCCTGCCGATGCAGGGGACACGGGTTCGTGCCCCGGTCCGGGAAGATCCCACATGCTGCCGAGTGGTTGGGCCTGTGAGCCGTGGTTGCTGGGCCTGCGTGTCCGGAGCCTGTGCCCCGCAACGGGAGAGGCCACAACAGTGAGAGGCCCGCGTACCGCAAAAATAAATAAATAAATAAATAAAATAACATTTTGTTTTATGTATTCTCAGTATGCGTGTGATATTTCATAAATATTAGATGTTAAGTTAAAAGAATGTGACATTCAGTTGGGGAAAGCACCATTCCCCGGGCCTCACCCTGCTCTTGCTCTCACAGCTTGGGGTTCTGTGAGGGAGGGGTGGCGACTTGGGTCTAGCTGATGATGCTGTAAAGAGGGGAGCCAGTAGCTATGGTAATAGTGAGACCCGTCAGGTGCTCTGAGGTGGGCCGAGCAGTGAAGGCCCACGTGTAGCAGGGAAACTCGTGGGTGGACACGTGAAGTGCCCCTTTGTGGCTATCAGAGCACTATGACAGGGGCCAATTCATAGAGGGCAAGCTGAGTCTGGCCATCTGGTCCATGTCCCTTTATTCTTTGTGATTTGGACATTGAAGGTTAAAAATCCAGTCATTTGGATTCCGGGACTTTTAAAACTAGTAGCATATTGTTACAGATACTTTGTGAGTTAATTTTTGTAAAAAACATAAGTTTTCATAAAAAGTATATATTCCATACTAAATATTTGAAGAAATTATGTTTATGTGTATAAATCAGAAAATACACATACCGCCTGGTTAGCCAAAATATTTCTATTCATCTTTGTATATTTGTCACAAAAGTCATGTCACTGCAGGCAAAGGACACTGGAGAAATGACAGGAATCATTGACAAGGTGCTGGGCATGTGCATGTATGTGCATGTGTGTGCATTGTGTGCATGTGGTGTGTCAACAGACATATGACACCCCGCACTACTGAAGGCCACACACTTACCTTATATGCCTCATCACTGACAGCTTTGATGTTGGCTTCTCTCCATCTTCCTGGTACCCCGTCAATTACTTCTCGATAGTTCACATAATAGCCCGTAATTTCAGCCCCTCCAGTCTTATCTGGTTGCTTCCATCCAAGAACCATTGAGTCACGAAAACTTTCAAGACAAGTGATATCATAGGGTGGAGATGGTGCCGCTGTTGCAATATGAAGAGCTCATGAGTGGACAGAAATGCTTCTATGATTCTACCTGCATCAAACTGTCTCATTGGTGACACACATGAGGGCACTAGGTCCTGTGGTGTAAAACTAAAACGTGACACCAGTAAGTAACTTAGCATCGATTTGGTATGTGAGGAAAAAAACTGACACACAGTAAAAACTGCACCGCAATTATTACTCCAAAGATAAAAAGAACCTGCCCCTTCCACTCTCAAAGAGGAATAAGTTTTGAGATACTAACAGCAAAATGTTAGTATTTCTAACAATATCCTGAAAATATAGCTAACAATTCCTGAAAAATGATCTGTTCCCCATAAGAAGAAATATTTTTCCCAAGATATATATTTTTGTTTCTTTTTTTCAATACTTTATGTATCTTTATTGATTATTTTTCATCCTACTTTGTATATCTCAACTCTAAGTTTTAGGACAGAGGTACATGCTACCTCTTCATTCCCAAAGCAATAGCATGAAAAAGTAAGATATTTTTGTTTCTTTATGCGGTTTTGTTTCCATTTGCTCCCTGAGGAAAATGACATATGTATATCAATTTCTGCCTTGATTTGCTTATTAAGAATTTCTATATATTTCCAAACAGTTAGCATTTCACCACTCAGGTACATGTACCCTTGTGAGACCTTACAACTATATAGGTTCTGTCTACACACAGAAAAAAATCATATACTGGAGCTCAGCTAAATGCCATGTTAAAAATCTTTTTTAAAAAACAGGAACAATCAGCCATGTGATTTTTCTCTTAGTATAATACTTTTTGCTGCATTATTTTAAACCTGATGCTGGATTATTATTCGTATGGCACAAAATACTACATAGCTGCCACTGTGTTTATTAGCGCTTAATCAGAAAAATATTTGGATGTTGTTTTAAAAGTCTTTCTTCATTTATGTGGATTTGTTGATGAAACTTTCACTCAACTACTGAAATTATGTTTTTTTGATAAAGAAAGAGAGGGTGGGGTGGTGGAAAGAAATCCACTAGATGTGCAATAACATTAAAAAGAATTTTCTGAATATTTATTTGGATTATCAGAGATAAAGGAACTATCTCATTCTTATTCAAAAAGATTCTCAGAACAATAAAGATTTTAAAAAATAAAATACGTTTTTTCTCTCTTTACCCCATCACCAACCTCCTTCATTCTTTACATTTTAAAGAAAAGCTTTCTTACTCTCTCTCTCTATTTCAGAGCAATGTTGAATATAAACTCTCAAATGAATACCCTATCTCATCTTGAGTTGAAGGGGCAAATAAAGGTGTCAAAAAAGTAGAGAAGGGCTTCCCTGGTGGCGCAGAAAAAAAAAAAAAAAAAAAGTAGAGAAGGTTACAGAAGTTAGGGATGGGATATATATAGGGGATGGGTGAGAGGCATGATATGATTTACCAGTATATGCTTATCATTTCATTTTTATTTGATAAGAAAAACATTGTCTCCTAGAATATATAAACCACAAATACCAAATATCCTAATCAGAAAGTTCTGATTACTGATAATTAGTCTTTCTATTCTAATTCTGATTAGGTAATTAGCCTTACTGATAAATAGTCTTCAGTAAATCAGTTCTGGGAATGTGGATCGTATATAATAGAATATGTGATTATAATGCCCTGTTAAACTTTTCATGACAACTCAAAGAGATATTGTTTCTTATGTTTATTTGAATTAAATGTGAAGGTAATTTGAAAACCTGAGGATGAAAAACAGAAGTTAATAACTATGATCCTGATAAAATGTTATTTTGTGAAATATTTTTCCTATCCATTTATTACCAAACACGGATATTTCGAAAGACCTCCCATAGGCTATGAGTATCAAATCCTTCCCCTCTCATATCTAACTCTCTTAGCAAAATGAGGCCAAAGGTGTGTCTGCTTGTTAAACCAAAGAGACTCTATAACCAAATTACTTTAAATATTCTATTGTCATTAAGCACAATGAATTATGTGTCAAAGCCAAACCCCTATAAAATTACTCTCACAACTCGTTAAACAAAAGTATTACAAATGGGTAACTGAAAACATAAAATTAAGAATGAACACGGATGAAAGTGAACACAGATGGAAGGTGGTGATCTGGACAACGAGCGGTGAGGACACTCATGGAAACAGACAGGACGCTTTTACTGCTTCAGCTCTCACCCAGATCCTTCTGCTTTTTCAGAGGGTCAGACTTACTTTCCCCCTTAACAGCTGCTTTCTGTTGTGGTGGGGAAAGCTCTTCCTGAACTGTTTCACTTACTTTACTCACTTCTGTTTGGCCCAGGTTGTGAGAGCTACTGGGTAGTGAAGGTTTGTTAAGTTTGCTACCAAGCAAAGCATCTTTCTTAAAAGTTGGCTGGGAGGTGCCATGCATGCCTCCCCTGGAGTCTGTTAGTCCACCTGGTGTATCACTCAGTTCAGGCCACACAGCTGGAGACACTCCTCCCCCTACAATTGCCAGATAACAACAGAAACACTTTGAACCAGGACACAGTACAGAGTGCTCTTACTTCATAGAACAAACGAGAAAAACATTAGCACCACAAACAGAGCAAAAGCAATCTTGGTTTAACGGAAATCACTTGGCTTTGCAAGAAATATGGAAAGCATACATTGCACATAACTTACACCAAGGAAGCATTTCAACATTTCCATATTTTCGAAATAGAAGAAATGAGAACAAAAAAAATCACAGACAGAACAGGAACCATTCTGATTTGCAGGGCCCAAGTAAATATAAGAACAAGCACTTCTCAGACATTTCTTGAGAGAGCTCCATTATTCAACAGAATGGGGGGAAAAAGGACCATAAAGTGCACAGGAGACAAACATTGAAGATCTTGATTATATAACAATAGAGTTATGTACCTTACTGATATAGTAATGGTCTGTACCTCCCAACTTCAAAGACGCATGTTCACTATGTCCTTATAATACAAACATATTCTAAGGAATGTTAAAAAGTAATATGGGGTGCTAACTGAAGATAACTGATATTAAATAATCTTTCTCTTTAAATACGTGCTACTACATCACAGATTTCAATTTAATTGCCCTGAAATACCTGGGTCCCTTTCACACCTTGAGATTGGAAGGTACATCACTGTACATACATATAATTACTTTATTACTGGTTTTATTCTGTTGGTTACTTTGCCAGCAGAGATGAAACATATCAAGCAACCACACACGTCTCGCACAAATTTTAGCAGTTTATAAAAAGCAGGTTAATGTGCTGTTACTGAGAACAAGCCAGGCTCTGCCGCAGATAAAACGGCTTTTAGGTATGAGATGCTCTGTGTTACGGGTGATATACCACCTCATGGAATTGGATGGCACTTCATATTCCCGGGATGAGCACGAAGTTAGAATGGAGATTCACACAATGGGAAATATCTGAGGAAACTTGGACTGGTGAAGATGAAAAGGCTACAGATGCACAGAATCTGGATAAGTGATGAAGATCTGTAAAATGACAGCTATGGAAGGTTAGAGGTCACCTGGAGTCAGAGACAACGATCATCTGAGGATGGAATCATCGAGCAATATTAGAAGTTTTACACAATTTCTGAAGAGGATGGTACCTTTCGTTGTAACTTAGAAAAATTCATTTTTCTAAGAACTTACCAATAGCAGCTTTTACTTCGATTGCTTCTGAATCTTGTGAATATTCACTAAGTCCAGCTGCGTTAACTGCTCTGACCCGGAAAATATAACTCTGACCGGTAGTCAATCCATGACAAGTAAACCTGAAAGGAAAGAAAGTTTTAAAAAAACTTCCCCAGGAGGAAGGTTAGGGAAGTTGATTGTTAGCTTAATGGAATGATCTGGCTTTATGAGAATGATTCATTTTTTAAAAGGAAGAAAAAGATGTAGAGAGATGCAGGTAACACATGTACATTAAACAAGAAGGCACCTCAGGCAATTTTCTAAATTCACTCTGTCAAACGATGAGGAGTCTTGGTTATCCCCTGAACAAACATCCTACCCTTTTGGGCCTTTGCGTGCTTATCAGTAAAATGGAGATGATAACGCCTACATGGTAATTTTTGTGTGAAGATTGACCATAAAGTATATATAGCACCAGGGGGGCGGGGAGGGATACATTAGGAATTTGGGATTAACAGATACACACTACTATGTATAAAATAGATAAACAACGCTTGTTTATCTATTTGTACTGTATAGCACAGGGAACTATATTCAATATCTTGTAATAACCTGTGACAGAAAAGAATTCAGAAAAGAATATATATTAAACAGAATCACTTTGCTGTATACCTGAAACATTGTAAATCAACTATACTTTAGTTAAAAAATTAAAAATAAATTTAAAAACTTTAGCAAAAAGTATATATAGTACCTATTACAGGGCCTGGCTATAGGAGGCATTTAATAAATAATAGGTGGTATTAATAACACGATTAATGACTATTTCAGGGATATACTTATAGCTGTAAGGCACTGGCTGCCTTAGTCATAGAGGCCTACTCACTGCCTCCCTGCATGCCATGGAAGGTACAATTACTTGAGAAATTGACTCCAGAATTGTTATTTGCGTTTAAGGGTCCAATAATGAGGTGTGAATCCATGGGCAGTTTGACACATAAAACAACCCCACTCTTCAATAGCTATTATGGCTATAAAGAAAAACTGTTTCATGAATCACTGTAACATTCTAATGCATCCTGAGGACTGTAAGCAGAGGAAATAACCGGTCTGCTAATGACTCTATCACTATTAGCATGTTGAAATATTTAATAAGGGCAGTCATAATGTAGGCCAGCTCCGTTCAGTAAACATTTATTAAGCACTTCAGTGTTCCAGACACTGAGCTAGGTACTGAGGATACAAAGATGAATAAAAAATGGTGCTGGCCCTTGAGCAGCTCCGTTCTATTTATGGAAAGGCAGACTCTGCCTACCCTCCATGAAAATTTCTAAATAGTCCCCAGGAAATGTGGAGAACTCAGAGTAAACGTGAAGTATACAAACAGGCTAAATGAATCTCTTGCAAAACATACTGCCTTCTCCCGTTAACTGGTTTGTCTTCATTCTCTCCTGTTCTGCAAAAGGAACGACTCATCCTCTGGGGGTCCTTGGACATAGAAGTGGCCAAGTCAGAAGCTGCCTAACAAGCCTGCTTGACAATTGGGATGGGGTGAGTCTCCTCTGAGGTTGGTCCTAAATCAAAGGAGACTCAGAATTTGGATGCAGGCCTGAATTCATCATCAACTTGCAAAGCTGGTTGACAAAATATTCAAAAGCAAGAAAAAATAACCCTCCTCACATTAGAAACAGATACAAGGGGACAGCAAAGTATTCTGAATGTCTTTATTTTGGTGTTTAGCTCTCCTCAGCACTGGATTTAACCATATTGATGTTCAAAATTTGTAAAATGTTGATACTTTTTTCTGCTCATTTAAAATGCCTGCATAATTTATGACACTGGACAGCTACATGAACAAGAATCAAACTGGACTACTTTCTCACACCATATACAAATATAAACTCAAAATGGATTAGACTTAAATGCAAGATCTGAGACATGAAAGTCCTAGAAGATAGCATAGGCAATATGCTCTTTGACATTGGTTTTATAATATTTTTTTGGCTCTGTCTCCTCAGGCAAGGGAAACAAAAGCAAAAATAAACAAATGGGACTACAGCAAATGAAAAAGCTTTTGTACAGTAAAGGAAACTATCAACAAAATGAAAAAGCCACTTACTGAATGGAAGAAGACATAAGCAAATGATATATCTGATAAGGGGTGAATATTCCAAATATAAAAAAAAAACCTCATAAAACTTAACGTCAAAAATACCCCAAACAACCCAATTAAAAGATGGGCAGAGGATCTGAATAGATATTTTCCCAAAGAAGACATACAGATGGCCAAAAAGCACATGAAAATATGCTCAACATCATTAGCCATCAGGGAAATGCAAATCAAAACCACAATGAGCTGTCACCTCACACCTGTCAGAACGTATATTCTCAAAAAGACAAGAAACAACAAGTGGTGGCAAGGATGTGGAGGAAAGGGAATGCTCATGCACTGCTGGTGGGATGTAAATTGGTACAAACACTATGGAAAAGAGTATGGTGGTTCCTCAAAAAATTAAAAATAGAACTACCATATACCATCCAGCAATTCCACTTCTGGGTATTTTTCTGAAGAAAACAGAAACACTAATTCAAAAAGATACATGTGTCCCTATATTCACTGCAGCATTATTTACAATAGCCAAGATATGGAAGCAACCTAAGTTTCCATGATAGATGAATGGATAAAGATGTGGCATATATATACAATGGACCGTTACTCAGCCATAAAAAGAATGAAGGCTTGTCATTTGCAACATGGATGAACCTAGAGGGTATTATGCTAAGTGAAATAAGTCAAAAAGAGAAAGACAAATACCATATGATTTCATTTCACTTCTATGTGGAATCTAAAAAACAAAACAAATGAACAAACGTTAACAAAACAGAAACAGACTCATAGATATAGAGAACAAACAGTTGTTTGACAGAGGGGAGCAGGGTCAGGGGTGAGTGAAATAGGTGAAGGGGATTAAGGGTTACAAACTTCCAGCTACAAAATAAATGAGTCATGGGGATGAAATTATAGCACAGGGAATATAGCCAATAATATTGTAATAGCTTTGCAATGGTGGCAGATGGTAATTAGACTTATCGTGGAGATAATTTTGTAATGTATAGAAATATTGAATAACTATGTTGTGCACCTGTAACTAACATAGTGTTGTAGGTCAATTATACTTGAATTTAAAAAATAATAATAAGGGACTTCCCTGGTGGTCCAGTGGTTAAGACTCTGTGCTTCCAATGCAGGGGGCACGGGTTTGATCCCTGGTCGGGGAACTAAGATCCCACATGCCACGCAGCATGGCCAAAAAAAAGTAATAAATAAAAATAAAATAAAATAAAATAAAATGTCTGGTTAATTTACGTTCACTAGAGCCTATTAGATTCTTGAAATCTAGTATCACACTGTGTATTAAAACACGAACAGAGGGTTAAAAAGGACAAACAGCATACAGGGAAAGAATCAGAAAAGAGCTATGAAATGATGTCTTATCATAGCTGGCATTGTGTGTTTCTAAGTGTTTAATATCACTAGTAATCCTTTTTTCAAATGTATGGCTGTAGACATGTTCAATTTTAAGTTCATCTGGATATTCAGAGCATAATGTTTTTAATAATCCCCCTGTGTTTGATGCTTGTGCTGCTGTTTGGGTCCATGTCTGCGGTCCTTTCCTCAGCCCCTGTGGCTCCAGTGTCATATCCCCACTCCCCCCCCACCCATCCTGCATATTGCGGTTACCTTGTGCCCTTCACGGGGTTGTTGTTGCAGGGCTCCCACTTGCCAGATCCAACAATACTTGACTCTATGTAGTACCCGACCAGCTCCTTAGCATCTTTGGATTCCTCCCACGTAACGACAACTGATGTGTCTGTATTTCTGCTTGGGATGATATTGCTTGGCGGCTTGGGGGTGTCTGAGAAAAGAGGGAAATGATGGTTCAGCCCAATGTGGTTTAGAAATTCATTCTTATCACATGTGCACAGACATGCACACACACATATATAAATTTTACACTAGTAGTCACGTCAAACACACAGTTCTTTTATAATATATTTGTTAAAGCAGAAAGTTTTTTAAAATATGCTAGTTTGGGAGTACAATGAGAAACTAAACACCCAGGAACATACTAACCCCTTCCAGAAAAAAATACATTAGCAATACTGTTGAAACTCTTGGAGAAGTGTACTTTTCATAATAATTCATAATAATGAAAAATTTTAATGTATCAGTCAAGTACAGTCATCAATTACATTTATAATATGAAAAAAGGATGTCATGATTTTTACTTTTGAATATATACGTATTCCAATAAGATTCTTGCTTTGGAATCCTCTCTTGAACTGAAGTTAAATAAGTTTACAGTGGCTCAAGCAAACTCTATACTTACCAAGTTTGTCCTCGACCATGGTCACTTCTGTTGCCTCGGAGGGCTCACCAACTCCTGCTGAATTGGAACAGCGGACTCGGAACCGGTAGGATTTCCCCTCAGTCAAGTCAAACAGAGCAAAGCGGGGAGACTTCACAGGGAGCTCCATGTTCACCTGCTGCCAGTTTTCTGTTCCTGCATCACACTGCAGCCAGAACAGTGGAATCCATTGAAAGCACAGAAAGAATAAACTGGAACTCTAAGCCAGGCATCTTGAAGTTCGTTTATCTGCCAACAAACTACTACCTGTTATGCAAGTTGGACTGCAAAAGAGATTTGGGGGAAATGGGGTATGAAACATCTGAAGTACACAGGATTATCTAAATCAAATATGGCTGTATTGTTGAACAAATATGCTGCTTTAATACTTCACTTCCTTTTTAACTAAATAAGATCATTGTTCTACTTACAAAAGTCCTTAATTTATTTAGATGATAGTTTGGGGTCAGATACTTTTCTAATTCTTAGGGTAGGTAATTAAATTTAATATGCTATGTTAGATACTTATACTTAAATTTCCATTATGTTGTTATGAACTGTGTTATTTTAATTGCGTTTTATTTAATGTCTCATAACATCATGCAGGTCTGTGCTCATAAACCACCTCCTCAGAAAGGCCCACTTGATCACCCTCCTTCCATTACCAATCTGAAAGCTTTATTTGCTCCTTTCCTATCTCTCTGTATCCCTTACTTACCCTGCTTTATTTTTCACCAAAACACTTATCAACACTTGAAATTAAATTATTTATTTGTTGTCTCCTTCATTGGAAAGTAAATTCCAGTGAAACAAGTTCAGGGAGCTGTCTTGTTCACTGCTATACCCCAGAGCCTGGAATTGTTATCTAGCACATAGTAGATAATCAACAATTTTTGTTTCTGAATTAATAAATTTTTCTGAATTCTGAATGCATAAAGCTAGTGTAAGAAAAAGAAAATGTTATTTTTTTGCCCCTATCTTAGAATAAATAATGGGGAAAACCAATTTAAAGATATTTTATCCTTGAAATTAAATTGACCCACAGTGACTTTGAAATCCCTGAAAGAAGGGTGTGGTGTGTATTTGAGCTTAGGGACAGAATACAGTAAGAAAACTATCAGCAGTCTTCAGTAATCCTTTGTCCCTCTACTATTATAACTTTCAGCTCTGCCCAAGGTAGCAGAAGTGACTTTGCTCCAGAACTTCTAACAGCTTTAAGAGACTTTTCTGGAAATCCAAACCTTGTGATAGACTGACCAGTTGTCAAGAATGATAAATCTGGGGGACAATAAGCTTGTTGGTGCGTCACTCAGCATAATCTTCATTGACTTGAAATGAGAGGCAATACGGTATGGTGAAAAGAGCTCAGAGGCGCCGATTCTGGCCCTAGCTTTGGTAACAACGAGATGTGTGATCCTGGGAAAGCCACATTAGTGTCATCGTCTGTAAAATAAGCGAATTTGACAAGCTAACCTCTGAAGTCCCTTGCAGTGCCTTTTATGATAATGTGTCAGTTGTGTGTGGGAGGGTAGAGAGGATAAATTCCCCCAAACAGTCAATCTGCTCCCCACTGAGGGACAGAATTCTCCCAGACCTTTTATCCTTTAGTTTATGGCTTTGATTCATTTTGACATTTTCTCCCTTAGGGAACACATAAACATTTATCAGTCATTTACACTTTCATAATAAAAATAGTAGCTGCATTTCAGTGTGCTAAGAACTTTACCCCATTGTAACTCTTTAACCCCCTCAACTGTGCTCTGAAGTAGGTACTGTGGAGGTAATATTGTGTGATTACTGAGGTTTTCCCGAGGAGACTTAGGCTTGGGAAGGTTGAAAGGCAGCAATGTATAAGAGCTGGATATATGGACCTGAGCCAGACTGCTAGGGTTCAAATCCTAGCTCTGTCTCTTCCTAGTTGTGTGATCTTGGGCAAATTAAATACCACATCTATGCTTCAGTTTCCTCATCTACAAAATAGACATAATGTAAATGAAAGTATTTCCCTCATAGAATTACAGTAAGAATTAAGTGAGTTAACACATGCAGAGCTTAGAACAGTATCTGGTCCTTGTAAACATTAGCTATTTTTATTCCTTTGATAGAAACAGAGCTACCAAGTAATACAATCCTTGCCTCTGACATGACCAGACTTCTGATAGGGGAATGAGAGAAAGAGCTGAAAACATAAGACATCTGGGGAAAAATTGGGGGGCTGAAAAGAACATAGTAGGATGGAAGGGTTGGGAGTGCTGAGACCCGACTTATCTAATTCCTCTCAATATCAACCATTTCAGAGCTCACAGACATGGCATAACTGGTTGCAACCTGTCACCATGACAGGCAAGTTCGTCCTTTATGTGCAAATCCCAGGTAAAAAGTTCCATGAAGAAATGCAAGCACAGGGGTAACCAAAGAGGCAGCACTGCTGTAGGCGTGAACATCCTGGGGGATGGAAACTCGCCACAGGACGAGAGCATGGGAACATCTCCCTTAAGAAAGGTCAACGTATTAGATAGAAGTGGTTCATCGGAGATAATCTGAGACTTGGCTCAGGAGATGGTCTAGCATTTGGACAGTTCCTCTGTAAATGTGCCCCAGGTCTCTGGATGTGTGCTGCTCCCCTACTACCTCAATGTCCTGGCCCTTTTGTCTGTCTGTGGTGCCTGTACAGGCCTCTTTACCCATGCCGCACTCATAAATGTCCCTTCTGTTCCATACGAACAGGTGCAGTGCGGGAAGAACATTTAAATTTTAACCTGGCTCACATATTTAGGCCTGGAAAGGTGACAGACTTTCGTGGAGAAATTCGAGTTTATGTGACCAGAGGAGATGCTCAACAGAAGCTAAAGGTGACTCATCTCAAGAAAAGGCCTCGGTAGTAGGTTCTTACTGTGTCATTATTCTAAGAAAGGTGGTAATTACTGTCACAGAGCTTATTCAGAACTGTCTTCATGTGGAGCATTTCAAAAGGATTCACTGGGGAGGGTGTATTAAACACCACAGGAAGTGAATGTTTATCACTCTTTGTCTTGTCCTCTATTAAAAAAATTGAGGGAAAAAATTTTTAATCAAGAATGCTACTCAAGTTATATTTTATTTGAAGCTAATATCTAGAAAATATAAAAATTAATAAAAATAAAAATTTTTAGTATTATTTTGATAAAATCAGAATTTCTTTGAAGATGTCCATATTACACGTTGAAGAGATGATCCACTTATTGTTACCGATTTGTCAGGGATAAGAAGCAAGTGAGGAAAGCTCCTCAAAGATGTGAGTTAAATGTCCTCATCAAAGAAAAGTATAATAATTAATAAAGGGAAACCACAGACCCTAGTGTTTTTAGCTCCAGTATAATTTTCTCAAGAGCTGCTAATCAGAAATAATTAAAAGGCCATAAAGATAGTCGAATATTGCTTTTATGTTGTTACCTAATTTGCAGATGTTTGCCTACACCTATATTCCTATGATATCTATTCTCTTGTAATAATTGTCAGGGAAGGTGATCTAATAGGTGTTCTGAAATTGAATGATCAGAGTAGCATTAAAGGTAAAAGAGAGGACTCTAGGAAAATGAATTGAGCTCCATAACATTTTTGCAAAAAAAAATGACCTTTTCTATGATTTTTCTATGAAAGCAAAATGTAAATGATACCTTAACATGCTATCACAGAATTTTATAAAAATAAAATATAACAAAAAAGTACAAACAGTTGTTTCATTCATTGTTCTAAAAAGTGGTGCATAACTGCCAATAAAAATGTTCTTACATACAAGAGAAGATAAACTTATTTTAATTTTTTTCAATTATATCCTAATCAAAACCTTCTTAACAATGGATTTTGAACCTCAGTTTCAGCACATTCTCTTTAAATGCCCTTTTCCAGTACCAATGTTCCCTTTAGGCGCGGACTTCCTCCGCCCACCTCGGGCCCTGTGCCTTGCCTGGCAGGTGCTCCCCTGTGCACTTGCAGCTGGGGTAGCTCCCCCAGATAATGTCTTGTCCAGGTCTTGCTTTTCTCCATTTTCTCAGCATAAATACTTATTAGAACTCCCCTCAAATATGGGTATAGGATAGATTCACATGTAATTCTCATCATTCCACCCATTTTAGGCCTTCATTGTATGCTGCCCTCCAAGATAACTACAATATAATTGTCAGATATTTGAGGGAAAGAACTAGCCAGTATCTTTCTTGATTGTAACCCCTGACCCCACCCTCCCACCGGCACTTAGAGTAGTGCCAGCCAAGCTCGAGGGAGCATGTGAGGACTTTCTGTCTTCACTCTCGCAGCCATTTGACAGTATTGTATCTTCTATTCCTCTCGCCCATCTACCCTTCCTGCAGAAGGACAAGTGCAGAGAGATGAAAAGGCATTTCTAGGGCAAGGGAGACAGAAAAAGTGTCGAGAAAACAGTGTCACAGAGGCAATCTACAGTTTCAGGAACATTTCTCTTCTTAGAACGGTTATGAGTTGGGGTCTGTGGACCTTGTAGGAGTCTATGGGTGACCCTCAGGGATCCATAAAACCCCTAAACTTTAAGGCAAAGTTCTGTGTGATACACATTTTTCTATAGAAATTGTTTACAGTTTATAAGAGTTTAAAAAGTTCAGGACACAATAGAAATTTAATCTCTACTTCCTTAAAGAAAACTTGAAGAAGTGTTAAAGAGGTATAATGTCGATCCCAGAGTCTTACCTTTTCTACAAAGTAGAGGATGCCCTCATGGCCACGCTGACGGGGGGGCTTCCAGCTCAGCACCACGTAGCTCTGTGTGGCCTCGATGACAGAGAGGTCTGTGGGGGGCCCGGGAACAATACCCTCTGAAAAACAACAGGGAATAGTGAGGGGCACACACTTGGGAAGCCCAGGGCACTCAAGAGTCACAGAGGGAGGAAGAGCTAATTACTGCTCCACAGTAAAAAGAAGTACCTTGTCTCTAAACTTCTTCCTAAAACTTTCATTCATTCATTCATTCATTCATTCAAAGCCACAATTTTACTTTCTTTGCTTGACAATTTTAATTTCCTTACAGTCCTGAAAAACAGTAGCAATGATACAAGTTATGTTTTCTGCACATCTTACTTTTTTAAAATAAATTTATTTTATTTTTGGCTGCGTTGGGTCTTTGCTGCTGCGTGCAGGCTTTCTCTAGTTGTGGCGAGCGGGGGCTACTCTTCATTGTGGGGCGTGGGCCTCTCAGAGCAGTGGCTTCTCTTGTTGTGGCTGGCAGGCTCTAGAGCACAGGCTCAGTAGTTGTGGTACACGGGCTTAGTTGCTCTGCGGCATGTGGGATCTTCCCAGACCACGGCTCAAACCTGTGTCCCCTGCACTGGCAGGTGGATTCTTATCCACTGCGCCACCAGGGAAGCCCTTCTGCGTATCTTAAATCAGCTTTTTGACAGAATATCTTTTCAAGTATGCTTGGGTGGCAAACAACCTTGGAATATAGAAATAGTATATCCTCTAGGTCAGAGAGTTGTTTCTGACCAGAATAGTAAAGATAATGTCTTTCTCCAAGAAACTTTGAGTAGGTTGGTGAGCAGCTCCCTTGTAAGACTGGGGTTTCCTAAGGGCAAGCTTTCTCAGCTGTGACGCAGATCTCTGCATGGGCAGCGTCCACATGTGTGGCTCCACATCGCCCTGTGGGGCTCAGGGAAGCAGGGGGACCAGTGAGAACACGAAGCTCATGCTGTCCGCTGTGCTGTGGGTAACAGAGCCCTTTCTCTCTGACCCGGGAGTCTCATGCCTTTTGTCAGCATCTATGAAACTGCTATGAAACTTGCTGGCTCGTAAGTAGGGTGATGTTTCAGACCCTCCACAGTTCTTGACATTGGAGTGGCCCTTCCATGTGAAACAAGTAAAGTAATGAGCAAAATATATGAAATGACCATTTACAGACATTGGACATCAGTCATCATAGGACAATGATACCCCATAGCTGGAAAATTAGATGAGCCCTACCACTGTCCCAGCTTACTGTCTGGAGGGAGTTTCAAGGCAGCAGCTCAGGAAGAGAAACCCAGGTGGAGCCTGGCAGTCTCCCTGAGTGGAGGAGAAGAAGCTGTAATTCCAGGGAGGGCAAAGTGTGCACAGAGAGAGTCATGGGGAGGAAAAGGCTTCACAGAAAGAAAGGCTTCAGAGACTTGAGGGGGTCCCTTTGGAGTATTCACCTGAGTATTGATCAGCACACGCATACAAGGAAAGCACCTGAGGCCGGGAACACCCACACAAAAGAACTGGAGGGAAAAAATCTCAAAGCTCTCAAAGGACCTGGGAGAGTTCATCTTCCCACCAGCCAGACTGGAAATCTCCTAACTCATGGGGCATCCGGTAGAGCACTCAGAAAAGTACTACCTCTGTAATTCAGCCAAATTACGGCTACACTAAAGGCTGCTCTGATTCCACCAAACAAAAGCAAACCTTGAAAGAATCAAATTGTTTCCCCAGAACAAAGCTCAACAATATTTATAGACATAAAAAAATATCCAACACCAAACAACATAAATTCAAAATGTCTGGCATGTCATAAAAAAAAAAAAATGGAGGATCTAGGGGAAGATGGCGGAAGAGTAAGACGCGGACATCACCTTCCTCCCCACAGATACACCATAAATACATCTACAAGTGGAACAACTCCTACAGAACACCTACTGAATGCTGGCAGAAGACCTCAGACCTCCCAAAAGGCAAGAAACTCCCCACGTACCTGGGTAGGGCAAAAGAAAAAAGAATAAACAGAGACAAAAGAATAGGGACGGGACCTGCACCAGTGGGAGGGAGCCGTGAAGGAGGAAAGGTTTCCACACACTAGAAGCCCCTGCGCGGGCGGAGACTACGGGTGGCGGAGGGGGGAAGCTTCGGAGCCACGGAGGAGAACGCAGCAACAGGGATGCGGAGGGCAAAGCGGGGAGATTCTCGCACAGAGGATCGGGGCCGACCGGCACTCACCAGCCCAAGAGGCTTGTCTGCTTACGCACCCGGATGGACGGAACTGGGAGCTGAGGCTTGGGCTTCGGTTGTAGCGCAGGGAGAGGACTGGCGGCGTGAACATAGCCTGAAGGGGTTAGTGCACTACGGCTAGCCGGAAGGGAGTCAGGGAAAAAGTCTGGACCTGCCGAAGAGGCAAGGGACTTTTTCTTCCCTCTTTGTTTCCTGGTGCACAAGGAGAGGGGATTAAGAGCGCTGCTTAAAGGAGCTCCAGAGACAGGCGCGAGCTGCGGCTAAAAGCGCGGACCCCAGAGACGGGCATGAGACGCTAAGGCTGCTGCTGCCGCCACCAAGAAGCCTGTGTGCGAGCACAGGTCACTCTCCACACCCCGCTTCCGGGGAGCCTGTGCAGCCCACCACTGCCAGGGTCCCGGGATCCAGGGACAACTTCCCCGGGAGAACGCACGGCGCCTCAGGCTGGTGCAACGTCACGCTGGCCTCTGCTGCTGCAGGCTCGCCGCGCACTCCGTGCCCCTCCTTCCCCCCGGCCTGAGTGAGCCAGAGCCCCAGAATCAGTGGCTCCTTTAACCCCGTCCTGTCTGAGCGAAGAACAGACGTCCTCCGCCGACGTACAAGCAGAGGCGGGGTCAAATCCAAAGCTGAACCCCGGGAGCTGTGTGAACAAAGAAGAGAAAGGGAAATCTCTCCCAGTAGCCTCAGGAGCAGCGGATTAAATCTCCACAATCAACTTGATGTACCTGCATCTATGGAATACCTGAATAGACAACAAATCATCTCAAATTGAGGAGGTGGACTTTGAGAGCAAGATTTAGGATTTTTTCTCCTTTTCCTCTTTTTGTGAGTGTGTATGTGTATGCTT